AAGGTAGCTACCGCGTCAATTTTAATTGTGTTTGTTTAAAAATTGTGTTTGAATAAAACTGAGACATTAATAAATCGGAAGTATGTGTGTCAATTCAATTGTTACCGAAAAAAACGTCTCCAAACTAAGACATTAATTATTATTTTAAGCATAACAATATTTTTGAAACATTTTAATACAACAAAAGTTAGTTTTACTACATGTTTTACTAAATTGAGTAGACGATAATTTTTCAAAATTTCATCAACAATGACCGAAAATGTCCGTTATAATACGGCCGTAAAAACTAAATATTTTTTAAAAAAATCCTACAACTAGTCAAATAAAAAAACGATTTTTTTCCAACTTGTTGAACATTTCTCGAAGTTCCAACAAAATTGAGGTATTAAAAATTTTAGAGAAATTAAGTATAGGACAAAAATTATAAAAAATTACATCTCAAACAACTTTTATTTGTACATTCTTCTTAAAAACTTTAACTTTTTGTAAAATTTCTCGAATTTTAGGAAAATTTTGTAAAGGGCCAAAATTATAGAGAATAATATTACAAGAATTTTCTTCTCCAAGCGTAAATAACAGATAGATTCCATAAAATAGAAAAGAAACCCACTATAAAGTACCCCCCAGATGTTCCGACTATGACTGAAATTTAATCAACTCACCGCAGGATGGATTAAAGCTTAAGTTTAGAATTTGGTGGTTTTCTCTGTATTCGTTCACGAATTATCGACTTTTGAAATTCGTGATACCATTTATCGAATGAGGGCCAACAAGGAACATGTGACCTTAAATACAATTCTCTCGGAATTATCAGTTAGAAAATTTGACGACATTGGCAGAACAAGTCTATGGCAAGTGATATATAACTTGGGTTTCAAATTTCAAAAGGAGGATAACAGAAAAGCCCTTTGTGAAAGAAGTTCTGTCGTGCACAAGAGAATTAACTTTCTAAGAAAATATTCTAAATTTAAAGAAGAAGGGGCGAATTTTATATATTTAGACGAAACATAGATATTTTCTAGGGGTGCAACCAAGAGAATATGGCAAGATGATAACGTAAAGTCCATCAGACATACCGATGGAGAAGGGAAGCGACACATAATTTTACATGCAGGAGGGAAATCGGGTTTTATAGAAGGTGCTGATTTAATATTTTCATCTAAATCAAAATCCAGTTACTATCACGATAATATGAACACAGAAATGTTTGTAAAATGGTTGCATGAAAAACTTCTCCCAGGTTTAAGTGAGCCCAGCGTAATTATTTTAGACAATGCACCTTACCATTTGGAGTATTAAACAAAAGTCCAACGAATTCTTGGACTGTTGATAAAATTAAAGAATGGTTGACAAAGGAACATATACCATTTCCTCAATATATATTAAAATCAGAATTATTACGCTTGGCAAATATACACGCAAAACCAAAAACCTTTGTTGTGGATCAGATTATTGGAAGTTACGGTCATCAAGTTTTACGTCTGCCACCGTATCATTGCCAGTTTAATCCCATCGAATATATATATGGGGAATAGCAAAACAATAGTATGACAACCATACTGGGCCTAATGGTTATAGTGACGACGCAGTTCGGGAAACTTGGCGAAAAGCACTTTCAATTGCAACTCCAGAAGTGTGGCGGAACTGTATATCCAAGTGCGAGAAACTAATAGAAGATTGGTGGACTCGTGAAAATAAAATAAACGAAATAAGTCCATTCATAATAACAATTAACGGTGATGACAGTGGTGATGATGATGACGATTATGATATTTTGGATGATAATGACTGATTTTAATTTTTGTTGGCAAGTTCAATTTTTTTTATTTTTCATTTGAAATTCTCTACATGGAACAAATTTTTATGTTAGAAAATATTTTATTTGAGCTAAATAACCTTCTTATTATACATAGACCATATTTTCTGTGTGAAGTATAATATAAAATTATTATTAGGTTTATAATAGCCACATTAGACTAGATTATTATTTAATTAAAAAGTTGTACATTATTTTTCATTTCATTTAACCAGTTGATATTTCCCCAAAGAACAGGTCAAACTTTCGGGTACTTACCTGGAAATACTCATAACATTTTTAATCCGAAACCCGCGTAAGTATAGCGAACAGACTACTGTACTAATTATTGTTTACACTTTCGAATAAAATAACATCATCTTATCATGAAATTTTCAAATGCTTTTCTCTTGAAAATGGTGCGTCCTAGCGAGATACAACAAAAGTAGCTTTATTATAAAGAAAATATTGGTTTTCCAAATTTTGTAGTCAAAAATGTTAAAAACAGTCAACAAAAAAACAATTTAACCCTAAGCCCCATCCCTAATTTACCCACCTATGAAGATAATAAAAAACTTGCGTTTAGTCCATTAAATAGAGCTCAAAAAGTTTACCATTTGTACAAAATTTCACTTAATTATCTTTAAAAGTTTAGAAAATATTTACAAAAATGTGTCATCAGGACTTCACTTTTAACACCCTGTATCTCGGAAATAAAACGTGTTCGGACCTATGCTTATATAAAATTTTACTCCTATTTTAGGATGTAGATTACGCTGTTAAAACATGACCGCCTAATTTCGGGACACCCTGTATACAAGTACATCCAATTTATATTGACTTGTACACAGCCACTCTTTTTGCAAAAGATAATGTTGAAACACAATTTTACTTATTAGCTGGGATGAAAGGTAAAAAGATGCCTACTGAATTAAGTGCTTTATTAGATTTTATTAAAAAGAAGATTGCTAATGGAGTTTCGATTTTATTTAAATTGCTGTGGCTGATAAAATCGTAATCGAATCAAGTTCTTAATATATATTTATGCTGCCAAGTTATTGAATTACCCATATTTTTTTTATATAGAACGCAATTATAAAGCAGATGATAAACCAAATAATGTATATATTGTTAAACTGACTTCCAACAATGCGTCACTTTTAAAATTTACTTAAATGATTGTAATTATTCTACAAACGGCGCCTAAATAAATTAAGCATAAATCGTCAGAAATATTGCTTCAAATTTAGATACTTTTATGAAGAATGAAAGGCTCTCCATTATCTCAAATGTGATAAAAGTTGCTTTTTAAAAACTAGAAATATGATAAAAAATTAGCATTTTTAAAAGACTCCCTTAAACTAGGCAAAATTGAGTTACAATGTTTTTCATATCAGGTGTTGTTATGGTTGTCATACTCATTAAACCCTTTTTATAAATATCATTTTCTAGTATAGAGAAAGTAAAAGTTGAAAAGTCTTTTGGTAGGTATAGAGGGGGTAAACGTCAAACCACGTCGGGCGGCTCCGAGAATTTCGCAGTAATGTTTACCTGCCAGTGTCGTTTCATAGAATAAGTAATTTTAAATTGTTATCGGCGGAACCGGACAATCACATGTATTTATGGATTATAAATAATTATTAAACATGTATTATAATATTCAAATCATAATTTTACAAAATTTCAACAGCTATTCACAATTTATTAAACTATTTACTCGAAATTGTTATTAACATCTATAAAATAATTTTGTACGCCAATGTATCGCATCCACTTCGGTGAAATCCGCTGCCAACCTGTCAATTTATGTGTATAAAGTGGGAGAACTGGCAAAAGCATTTCCAACTTTTACTTCTGTTCTATGCATAAATATCTTTTTTTTTTTTTATATAACTATATAAACAACAGAATTTTAAAATTTTCCCATAACACGCGAGCCTATTTCGTCCACTTTCTTTACGTTCTCACATATCACTTACACTTTTCGCTGTTTCTCAAACTTTTACAACCCATAGATACAAAATAAGCGCGTCCTTCGTCCCAGCGATTGTATTTGCCGAAGTGCTTACTCCAAAACTTTCAGTAAAATGAGCTCACCGCGCATCTCAATTTCAACGTCAGCGGCAGGCCTACTGAGCGTCACTCGAACAACACCAAGCATCTGACGAAACGATATTAGCCTACTCCGAGGTATGTTGTCGTGTCGAAGTCCGAAATTGGAGTGACAAGTGTGGCGAGAGATTTAATTCTACAGTGTTAATCGAATAGGGCAACTTGTCGGTTCTTGTGTGTGGAGGAAGTGTTCAACTGACGAGCATTACATTAGTACGTGAAATTTGTTAGAAAACAATTTTTTAATTATTGTATTGAATAGGAGAGAGCGCGCGCACGAGAGAGAGAGAGAGAGAGTGTGATGCTGCGATGCAAGAGATAGAATAAAAAATAATAATGATGCTGATGATAATAGTATAAGAAATAAATATGAATTTTTTTTTTGCATCGACCGTAAGCCATTTGCCACACACTCAATAATAAGAATTATAAATAATAAAACAAAAAGTCTCCTGGTTGGGACATCAGGTGATAAACTGAAATACTTTGAATTTATGACGGACGTGACCTTTGTCATGTTAGCAGAAAATATATTTTGTTTGTGTACTAGAGCGAGATGACGTTGCTATTCGCGGGATGGAAGATATGCATTCATTTCTTGAATGCATGGGTTTGATCGCAAATGGTTTATGAAATGATGTTTAAAATTCAGAATAACAGGAAATAAATTACTGGAGACGAAGCGCAGATCGAAATTAGGCTATATGAGAAACAAATAAATTATGAGAGTAGAAGGAAACATCTTAGAATAAGAGACTGTTCTAGTATAGTAATTTACATCCCACAGAAGATAAAATAAGAACAGTCTCACTTAGAAGTTGTAAAACACGTTAAAGAGACAATGGACTTGAGAAGCTTTCATGAGAGCGGCTGGGAAGACTGAAAGTTATTGATGAGAAGCGACAAAGAAAAGTAACTGTAAAAACTAATACGTGGAACAGTGACAGAAAAAAATTAACAGTGAAAGACTATTGCACCCACCACCTTGTAGTATTTCTATATTTTTTGTTATGGAAGGAACTGTGTAGCATCACTTTAACAAAAAAAAATAGGAACCTTAAAGAGCTGGCGCCTTAGTGCCGTTCAAGCAACCTCTAGCTCTTTTAAATATGACATCTTTCTTTACATTTATCCTTTCTTTAATGAAAAATAGATTAACATTACAAATAGATTTTAGTTTCTTAAAAGTCAGGTAATTATAATAATGAAACGACAAATTATTTTGACTATATTTGTATTTTTATGGGCTTAAACCACTATAAAATGAACAATATATAAATAAAAATTCTTAATTCATTAATTGTAGAAAAAGTACAAAATGAAATATATTACACAATTATCACAATTAAATATAGGATTTAAACAAACCTTGTAAATACAGTTCATTAACTATAACATAAACTTAGTTTGATTTTGATGCCTTCTCCGTTTTCCAAACACGTATCCTCTCTTTTAAATCATCAGCTAAAATAAAAAAGAATGTTACCATTTACAGTAAAAACTTAACTTGGGTACTAGGTAACATCAGATAAATGTAAAATACCCCTATTGTTCAAGTTTTCTGGGCTCAAAAGAAGGTTTTAAAATACTGGATAGGCTTTTCACCACATGGCTCCTATACACGATCAGCCATGATGGGCCATTGCATAATAGGCCATCATCGCTTCCATCATTGCACTGTCATCCACACGATCGGCCATTGCATTGCTATTTATGTGATTCGTGCATACTATCATCACATAAATAATAGTAATAACATTGTAAAATTGAAATCGTGCCCAGTGTCTAAAAGGTGTGAAGCAAAGTAAGAAAATCCCATAGGGTTTGCGTTCTTTTAGATGAGCTTTAAAACAGAGACAACCCAGCGAGACGTGTAACTCAATGTATTTTTTTTGTTCGGTAATAGTTGTTTGGGAGATTGTAACCACAACCACTAGTAAATAGCGGGAAAATTAAAAATGCTTTAGGGCGGGAAATTCAAACATGGATTCAGAAATAGTTTTTCTATACAAATTTACAGGAGAAACAAAAACTATTGTTTCACTGTATATTAAAAAATATAAAAGCTTCCAATAACATCAAATTTTTATCATAATATAAATAATCATTTTAATAAAGGAAGTTTTAATATTTAATATAAGCAGTGAACATAGTTTTTATTACTCTTGTAAATTTAGCTAAAAAAAACTTGAAAATTCTATTGACTATTAAATATTTAAACTTAAAAATAATACACCAAACTCTTGTTCTATAAATTATATTTTTGTAAGGTACAGAAAAACAAACTACAATTGCTACGTTTAGAAAGTACCTCTTATCATTTTGTGAGAAATTACAAAGAAAGTCACAGTTGTTATATATTTATAATATATTTATAATATATTTAAAAAATAATGTAACAAATATTTTATAAAGTATAGAGTATATCGATACCTTTTTGCCAGACTATCATGTGTCATTTTAACAAATGTCAAACACATTACATCGTTTTGCGGTGTTGAAAAGGCGTCGCTCTATGCGCCATCATGTAACATCTTTTATATATTAACATGGCTTAAGTAACAAATTTCCTGGAGAAATACTATAAATACTGTAAAAAGTATTTAGTCTTAAGTGCACCATGTATTGATAGTGTTCAAAATAAAGTGTTCAATCAGAAGGTGATCTTTTAATCCAAGTTCTACATCTTCCAGACCTTTGGATCGCACAGGTATTTTCAAACTTTATTACTACAGTTGATGATTTTGCCAAGGGCCGAATGTCGGTCCTAGCTTGTTTATGGAGCAGATACACCGACAGAAACCTGTATATCGGTCAAACCGCTACAGGCATAAAATTAACTTGCATACTCCTCACAATATATCCCCTGTAGTAAAGTCACTGGGATTCAAGTCACATGGCGCTAGTATCGTTTTGAATTTTGACACGTCTGACATCGGCTACGTTCATTGGTTGAAGACGAATTCAAAACGATCAGATCGAAGCGTTTACTCTCGCCCACTCTTCTTCATTTCGATACTTATAAAAGAGGGAGATAACGATTAACAATTTCTGTTTCGAATCCTCTTTTATTCGTGAGCATGAGTTTTTGACAAGCAAAGAGTGAAGTGTCAGTATTGGCAAGTGATAATTGATTGATTTTTTGATTTATATGATTTTATGATTATGCCATATATATTGTAATGGGGGAATGATATTGTAATATATAGCACTACGTTGGGACGTTATAATTGTAATGAGCTTCACGTTTAGCAACCCAAATTATTATTATTTTTTTTTTTTTTTTTTTAAATAATTAAAATCACAAATCATCCTCCTCCATACAAATACTTAATGCTCCGGCTGAAATGTTATCTGATACAATTAATAAAACGATATGACTCAATTCTTTTAACTAATGGGTTTAAAAATTTTCATCCATGTATTTGAGACACTTACCTCTGTACCTCGTATATTGTCAGCTCTTGTATTGAAATAAAAATAAGTAAAAGTTTGAGACTCTGTGTATAACTTGTAGTTTTATTCAAAATAATTTATATCAGGGTTTAGAGCGAGTTCAAAGATTCTTTGTAACTAATGTGGGAAAAAGAAACAGAATATTGTTACATAAATGTAAAAAATTAACATAGAAACAAAAATAATAAAATAATTCGTCATTTAACGATCGATTCTTGGATCGAAAATGGCGCATTATACTATAAAAATACAGTTACCTATCGAGCTTAATGTTCTACCCACCGTACGGCGCTTTTAAATACGTAAGTAGATCTCTTTTGACCGGCTATATGGTAATTTCTCAAGTCGGACAAGAGATGGCTTATATGAAATTATAACCTAATTAAATCAGAATTTCTAAGCAACAGTGTGATGTTATTTTGTACAAAAAATAGAAAGATTTATCGTCTTTACGATTACTTAAGTACTCAATTATGGTAAGTACTTTTTTTAATTGGTCACTAATGATAGTTTTTAATTAAAATACCTGTATAGCACTGTGAAATATGAGATGTCCAAGTGTTAAACTTATTTCTTTTCAGCGTCCATAACAGAAGGATATCAAATACCCGTGTAACTGGGGTCTTTCTTGTGGCATGCCGGTGCATACAGCGGCGATGATGACTTCCTGGGGACTCGTCTTCGGGCAGTTTTACGTGATATTGCGTGGGTAAGTTACATTTAATGTTACCTTTGATATTTATACACTAGTTAATTACTTATACATAAATATTGAAGATTTAATATTTCTGTCTCTTTATTTTTTTAGGAAAAAGGAGTTTGGAGAGGAAATTAGGAGGAGGAAATTTTCGTGTCCTCCTCCTTCGTTACTTTTCTAGCACTATCTTTTGTTTCATCAACAAAATTCTGATTTAGATTTTTGAATCAAGTTGGATGAAAAAGTAATTAGCCAATCAAAATTTTGACAGTTTAGTTACATCTTTAAAATTAGATTATTGGATTTTTAAAGGTGAGTTTATTTAAACGGCATATTTCATAATTTCGATGATAATTTATCGTTCATTAATTAATAGGTTATTTTGAAATCCGTGTTGTAATTTTTTTTACAAATTTACATTTTAAAAATTATAATTTTCGTGTGGTAACACTGTCTCACTACATTTAGTTACTTTTGATCTTGTCAAATTTATCACTATACAGGGTGTAGTCTAAATACTTAGATGAAACTTTTTAAATTTATTTCTTTGAAGACTTTTAATCATTAACTTGATATTCTTGGGATTTCGTGTTTCATTATAATATATATGATTTATACCATATATTAATATTAATTTTGTTTCAGCGATATTTATTGTGATATGGAATGCAAAACGTAAAACAAACTAAAAAAAGAAGATTCAAGGAGAGATTCCTATGGCTGTCATCTTAGGGTCCCCGCCCTAGATAATACTTTTCCAGTGGGAACAGCCTTTAAAATTCAAGTATAACAATTTTCTGTTTCAGTTTTCCCTTCTTTTAATGTAGGTGCCAATTTTGATGTAAATTTGTAATAATTTTTTAAATATTTCAGTTAAAACATCTAATATTATAATTTTACGAAGATCTTATGCTTTTCTATGGACACGATTCAAGGAGTGAGTCCTATGGCTGTCATACAAGCCCTAGATAATAGTTTTCCAGTGAGAACAGCCTTTAAAATTCAAATATAATAATTTTTTGTTTCAGTTAGATGTCCGTTTAAACTACAATTTTTATTTCACTTGTTGACATTAGCATTTATATACAGTATCGGCTATTGAACACTTTCAAATATTTGCTAGCATTAATGCGAGCAGGAAACAAGTAATATGAATGCCTTCCGTGTGTTCTGTGTAATATGAACGGACACACGGCTTCTCAATTATTGCCGAATATATTTAAAAATTCTCGCCGTTCCGCAGCCGGAAATTTACGATTTTGGCGGGAAATATAAATTTCGCATTGAAATTATATTTGAATTTACCGCCAGATCGAGTTAGTTGAGCGACCAGTCGCAATTAGCGCTGCAAACTTAGTGCCATCTCTTTAACAAGTGAGATGCACTACTACAGGGTCAAGACAAAATAAGAAATCACAAAGCAGCGCCATCTAATTGTAGTAAGCAAAATCAAAGCTCTTAATAACCAGGGTAGTTGCTTACTTTGAGTTAAAGTCAAAACAATTGCATTTGTATTAATAAATCAATAATTTTAAATATGAAAATGGTGAATACACCTGTTAATGACTTAATCTTACCTGGAACTAACATTTCCTCAGTCAATACTTGTCTATTAAATGGATCTGTATTACTATTTAATAAATGCCTCAGTATGACAGATCTATCCATTATCTGACCGCTAGGAAGGAGCACTGGATCAGACATTAAAGTATCCATTAGGGGATCCTTAAATTCGTCAGGGGCGTCTGCTAACCAGTCGTCAGATTTTTGGTTGTGTTCTAATTTTTTACAAGCTTTTGTCGCCAGCGCTCTAAATTGTTCAATTTGTACAGGGGTTTTTATAGAAATACGTTCGAGACGAGCTGCGGCATCTTCAAATAGATTCTTCTTGAATGACCTCTGGAAAAGACAAAAGTCTGTTTATTTATATGATAAGTATACAGTTTTTCATACAGTAAATTTGCTCCTGAGAAATTTTGAGTTTTATAATGATTGTATCAACAAATATTAAATAAATTGTTGGTTTCGGGAAATAAGGGGATAAGTCCAAATTTGTTACTTTTCAGGAGAATTGATTGAAGTTGAAGTGCTGATTTTAAATATAGGCATGCATTCCTAGAGTTTTCAAAATATTGTGCTAGGTTGAAATTTTGGTGTACCTACAGTCCAACGTACTTGTTGAATAGGGAAATGTAATTAACTTGTTTTGACCCAAAAATGACTTATCCCCTTATTCCCCTGAAACCACGGAATTATACATCAGAAGGAAGAGAAGATCGGGTGTGTCCTGAGTACCATTAGTTTTTTTTATTTTATAATTCAGAATAAAGCATTAGAAAACCAAGAAAAAATATATTTAATAAACTTATTTCTTTATAGCCAGTTTGCTGATACAAGAAACGATCTTTTTGTGACTGTGAAAAGAACTATAGTCTAGAGAAAAAAGGAGTGCAGTAATTTAATTTGCAGAACGTAGTACAGGTTTAAGAGATTGACATTTTATTTATACATCATCCTTCAATGCTTATTTGTAGTTAAAATGAAAATTTTAATACATAAGAACGGCCTAATATTTTTTCGTTTAGATTTAATCATGTTTCTATGGTTTTTATTGTAATAAACCTTTTCTTTTGACAGATAAGTCAAACTTTATTTATTCATAGCCGTATCTTATGTATTTTAATTGATGCGGAATTTTGTATTAGTATATATTATAATTTTAGTTATATAAGAATGGCGAGTGAGTAAGAAAATATTGCAAAGTACGCGTAAATGACCTAGTGGACACAAAGCATTATCTTTAGAAGAAAAAATATCGTACTTAATGTATTTAATAATCTATGAAAAGACTTTGTTTCACTTTCTGTGGATGAAATAGCCACTAAATGTGAGACTCTTGCATTAAAGCTGTCTAACGAGTTGTGAAAAGTATAGTTGGAGGCTTTGAGGAAGGTGTATGTGACCTCAGCAAGGCCCTTGACTGTGTAAATCATAACTTGTTGATAAAAAAACTTGATAATCAGCTACTTAACACACAGGCAGCAGTGTGTTAGTCACGATGATAAAACATAAAATTTTCGATATGTTAAACATTATTTGCCCCAAGGTTCCATTCTTGGGCCACTGTTATTTATAATATATTTGAACGATATTTTGTACTTCCTAAACCCTATAGAGTGCATTATTTTTGCTGACGATACAACTTTAATCCATAAGGCAGAATTATCACTGTGATATCTAACACTGATAAAACAGAATGTTGATTCTCAGCAAACTACAATTGAATACAAACAAAACCCAGCACATCCAAGAAATGGCACAGGTAATACCAGTAAACCTTTAGGGATCATCCTTGATGACACACTAACATGGTCGGCTCACATTGCATCCCTCTGTAATAAACTCAGCAAGGTAAATTTTGTTCTGAGTCAACTTAAAAAAAATACTAATAACGAAATAAATATCTATTATGCTCTTTTCCACTCTCATATGTCTTATGGAGTAGTCATTTGGGGAAACTCCCAATGATTCTATAAGAGTATTTAGACTACAAAAGCAAACAATATAAAGCCGTTATTTCTAAAACTTGGAATTATGCCACTACCTACACTATACATTTATTACCAGTTACTATCAATAGATGATTCTAGATCAAACTTAAATAAAAATTCTAATGTCCCGGAATATCCAACTAAAAATGCTGTCAAGCTCAGGAACCTGCGGTATAAATGTTTAGAAAAACTACGTTTGATATAAATATAAAAAAATTACTAAGTAAATTTGCTCTATAACGGAATATATGAACACTCCTTCCAGCTTGTTGACTCACGTTAGATAAAGCATATACGAGGGTGGTTCAATAAGTACCCCTGTTTGAAGGCAGGTGGCGTTGCTGAGTGAAGTTGGCATTACTGTCATCTGTCACACGACACCATACTAAATTTCAAACTGATTCATAGGTTGGTTTTTATTTGGCAGCCACTTGTACCATACATGTTTCGCATTAATCGATAAAATGGAAAAAGAACAATATCGATCAGTAATTCGCTTTTTATTTTTGGATGGAAAAACATGCGATGAAATATAAGCAAAGTTGGATGCTGTCTATGGGGACCCTTCACCATCTATGACAACCATAGGATATTGGTTCAACGAATTTAAATGTGGTCGTTCATCTGTTTTTAATGAGGAGCGACCAGGTCGCCCGGCAGACGTTGTTACCGAGGAAATCGTTAAAATGGTCCAAGACATGATTATCGCAGATCGCCGAACGAAAGTGCGAGAAGTAGCAGAGGCCGTAGGCGTATCATACGGAACGGCAATTAATATTTTGCATGAAAGGTGCCGCGATTGCTTACGGTGGGCAACAAGCGGATACGGCTGTCAATGTCGAAGCAGTGTTTAGAGCTCTTTATTCGAAATTCGCAGGAGTTTTTGCGTCGAGTCGTCACCGTTGATGATACCTGGATACCATAGTTTTACGTCAGAGACCAAACGACAGTCGAAGCAATGGATTTTTCGGGGCGAATCTGCTCCGAAGAAAGCAAAGACAGTCCCATCGGCCGGAAAGATCATGGCCACGATTTTTTGGGATTAAGGAAATATTCCTCATCGACTTTTTGCAGAAAGGAAGTACGATCACAAGGAAGTACTATAGTGAATTATTGAACCGATTCGATGCAAAATTGAAGGAGACACGGCCTCATTTGGCTAAGAAAAAAGTCCTGTTTCACCACGATAACGCACCAGCACATTCATCGAGAATTGTCACGGTCAAATTGCAAGAACTGCAGTACGAATTGCTGCCGCACCCACCGTACTCGCCCGACTTGGCTCCATGCGACTTTTTTCTATTCCCCAACGTGGCTCGTGGGAAAACAATTCAGCTCTAACGAGGAGGTTATCGTCGAGACTGAAGCATATTTTGCGGAGTTCGAGAAATCATATTTTTTGGAGGGGTTAAATAAATGGTAGAAACGTTGGGAAAAGTGTATAGCACTAAAAGGAGATTACGTTGAAAAATAGAAATAAATTTTTTTGAAAAACTTGCCTCTTCTTTTCTAACACAGGTACTTTTTGATCTACCCTCGTATTTCTATAAATTTTTAAATTATTTAAAATTTAATTTAATTTTTTTTTAACTTTATACCGTATCTAATATTGACACCCTCGTTATACATTGCAATATATGAAGGTTAACAATTATAATTTAGCATTATTTTTTCATTCATGTTCTTTGGACAAGTGATAATTTTTAGATAATTTTTCTTCTCCAACATATAGCTTTTTTCTAGTTGTTCCATGAGAATTTCCAAAGAATACATAAGATGATTTCCAAAAAGCATTTGCGAAACTATTGTTACATACGTTAAATACATGCTGTTTTATTTATTGTTTTATCCATTTAATTATTTTGTAGGTAAGTTCAAATTTGAATAGTAGCTCTGCATAGAACAATTTCAAGTTTCGAAATATACAAATATCACAAATACTAAATCATGAGCAATCTCAGAACTTACCTCATCACCAGCGAGAGCATCGGCGAACTTATCACAATCTAAATGTAAATAAATATCCACTAATTGACTAAGTAATCTTCTGGGTTCCCAACCGTATTTGTCAGGATTTCTAACTTTCAGATCTTTACATTTTCTACCACATAGCTGCTGCAGGTTGAAGTTCAACATCGAGGCTAACCTACAAGAGAATATAGTAAAAGTAAGTTGCCTGGAATTCCTTCTTTATCTAATAAAAACTATATTGTCTTCATTGAATGGGTCGCTTATTTACTGTTTAAGATGGCACAGGATTTTATAAATGGCTAGATAGATAGATTGACTAGTCTATAAAATCCATAGATAAAAAATCATTAGACTTAGAGCCCGACATCTTTAATGTAGAGAATTGTGGTTTGTAGTAGAGTGGTAGAAGAGTGTGATTGAATAAACAAAGAAACCACATCAAAGGTGAAACATGCTTTGATAGAGGCAATGGACCTCTAGAAGATGGCTAATTTGGACAACAAATATTTGAGGAACCAACAATTGGTGAAAGTCTTGGTGTCACATGGTAAAGTCAAAAGTCGGATCATTATGCCATAAAGAAAATGGATTAGTATCGTGTTAAAAAAAAATACTAATAAAAATGCAAAATTTTAATTTTAGTGTTGGAAGTAAATTAAAAATCCGGCCAATTTTTACAGTTATTTGTATTGCCGACTGCGTACTAGTTGCCCAAAACTACACCATATGTCACTGAAAACAAACTTGTTTGCCAAATTTCTTTAAAGAATCAGCAACTATTAATTATCCTTCCTTCATTAGTTATAGGTGATCATGATGTTTACTTTTGTGTGTGAAAATGGTTGCATATCAATAGTTATAAAATTAATAAACATTTTTTTTGGTACTCTTTCCTATACCGAAAGTTAAGTTATTTGGTAATTCCCAACTAGATTATAGATAGACTGTAACTCAGTGGCGATGGCCTTTTGTGACCTAGATTTTGTAGATGATCTATGCTCTATGCCAACTTCAGTGGCCTGAACATACCTAATTTAACCTACATTTTTAAATTTTAATTACTCCTTCAATTATTAAATTTTTTCAAATTAACATTATTACACATTCTAAGAGAACCTAAATCTGTTTTAACATCTACATGTATTTCAGTAACACCTTGTATAAGATATAAGATAAAAACAAACCAATTTATTATGACTTACCTATCTACTAACTCTGGTTTCAAGAAAGGTTCTTTTATATCTACTGTCAGGTAATGAAACATGTCAACTGTTTCTCTAGCTAAAGTTAAATACGACCGACATTGTCTTTCGTCGGAGTTCAACTGCCGCATTCTGCTTTGCTGCTGATCGGAAGGTAAACTGGCCCATTTTTCCTCGTCGCTAATGAGTTCTTGGACCTCGTGGATTCTCTTCAACGATTCGAGAGATTCGTCAAGAAGGAAAGTTGTGTCATTCATTAACATATTTACGAATTTGACGAATTGGAGTCCACTTCGAGATTCGTTTATTAAGCTCTGGCGATGGACGGGAGAAGACCACATTTCTAAAAGAAAATAACACATATTATATACAGTATTGATCAATAGAATAGAAAACGTCTAAAAATTCCTTACAAGAACTACTAGTGGATCTGTATAAACTAACAACTAAGTAATTACTGTTTTCAAATAAAAATTTCAAGAGTATTATCCAATTTTTTTGTGCCTGCAAAATTTTTTTCAACTCAAAACCTTTAATTGATTACTTATGTAGATTAAAGCTCTACCCGTGTGTACCGACTGTCACTATTATAACCATTTATAGTAATTTCAGAATCAAATATTTCATCAGTAAGATGTGTCTCAGAAAGGTACATTAGTAATGGCTATTTTGACATAACTAAGGCTGAAATTTAATCAAAATGCCATATTAAACTTTGAGCATTAAGTGATAAATAGAAACAGGCGTTTTTTTATATAAGAGTATAGTTTTACTGTTCTCTCTATTTAAGAAATGTGAATATTTTTTTTTGTTGGATGGAAAATCCATATTTTCGTTATTATCAGTATTTATTTTTTATTTAGAAAATGTTTATCACAATCTTCATTGATTTGATGAATATTTTCTATACTAGTGAGGACTATTATATCACTTAAAATGATAATATTTTCATTGTTATTTGATGTAGGAGCATTTCCATCTCTGGAAGAGTTTGATTATCAGTTTCACAAATACTAAATTATTTCTCCACTTTGCTGAACATATTTTATTTTTAAGCAAAAATGATAATTTCTTATAATTTAGTCTATATCTACACTATATTTTTGTTACTTCCCTTTCCTTATAGTAACAAATGAAAAACAATGCTATTATAAAAACAGTGTGTTTGTGAGTATCTTAACAGCACTGAAATGAGATGTCATTATGTGACAATAATATTTTACAGAATAGACCCCTTTTATTCAATAAAGTGCCAAACAATTAATTTATATAAAATAGTTAGTACTTACTTTTTAGTATCAAACTAATGTGATAGCGTATAGAAAACTTATCGTAAAACTCGGAACTAGACCCTGTTGTTTCGACATCAGTGTAGAATTTCATTAGTGAACTAGGCAGAATAGTTTGGGAGATGGTGTGATTCATTAAACGGGAATACAACACTTCACATCGTGGTTGTATGGTAGGAAGAATGACGAAAATTACTTCGACTAGTTTGGCCACTAAGTAAGGATTTTTTATCATACTGGAGGAACAGACAGTCACTAATAGCCACGTTATCATGATGTCTTCCATATTGTCAGCAATTACGTTTGGGAAATATCTAAAAAAAAAGTTAATCAAATTTGACATTACATTCAACTGAACGTTTTCCAATTAGTCATTCCAACGACCTGTCAAAATGCTGCCAGTGGAAACTGACAGTTTAGATATTGCAAACATGTGGGCCTGTTGTCATTGACGAGGTCAATTATACATATAATTATATAGATTGCTCAAATCGGGTCATTTGCGAGCGGCCATATTGCCTGGCGATTTAGCAAAAATGTGTTTTAAAACTAATGTCCAGCCTTTGGAATATATTAAAAAAAATAATTACCTATCTTTTTACTTCAAGACAAGCCTACTTTTAAAAACATGGAAGATCACTCTATATAACTATCTATCGGGTGTTCAAATTAAAGTGTTACAGTTAAATACCGCCGAAAATATGCATTTTAGAAAAAAAAAAACTTTCGGACAAAAGTTTTATAGTTTTTTGGGGGAAATATTTTGGCTAAATTCATTTTTTACAGATGACCATATGGTCATATCGAGGTGGAATTTTTTTTTTTTTTTTCAAATTGGAACCGCAGTTTTTTTTACATATTCTTAAAGTTCATAAAAAAAATAAGAAACTTTTAAGGGAAATATTTTTTTTATTGGACGTTTACTTTTTGAGTAACAGCTACTTGAAAATTTTGCCACATTATAGTTAGCTATAAAAACGATTTTAGCCAAAAAAAATTTCTTACAAAACTATAAAACTTTCGTCTGAAACGTTTTTTTTTATAAAAGACGGTCTATAGCTGTAACGCTTTAATTTGAACACCCGGTATATCATTGACCTTGTCAAATCACCAAGCCTACAGTGTTGCCATATCATAACCATGTGCCTGTCAGTGGCATGTTATTACCTACGGGCAACCATTTTGTTTGGAATGCCTAATACGGTTTGCACAAGTGGATGTGAAAACTACAGAGAGTTAGTATTAGAGCGAGCAGAAAGCAATACCAGCGTTGCTAGTTTATAAGCCCTGGCTGCGTTGTAACAGTGGCTGTAAAAACTGGCAACGCTAATATTATTCGTTTCCTGCTCGCGCTAATGCTAACTATTTGTAGTTTTCACATACACTTGTGCAAACTGTATTGGAAAGCGTTCAATAGCTGATAGTGTATGTAAAATGTGGTTTTTCATGTACTCTTCGTAATTTTTAGACCTTGAATGGATTATAAAAATATATGTATATACAGGGTGATTCTATTCCAAAAACTTTGATATTATTCACATTTTACATAAATGTATTATTTGTATGAGTAATGTCTCCAGTAAAGTCTTTTTAGAATCGCCCTGTATAAAATTTCGATAACTTTGCAAATATTAATCCTCATAAAAATAAAAATGTCTTACTGCAATGCAAATAATAAAAATTCGGCAATGTCTTCCATATACCACTCTGGCATCGAGAAAAATGTGGGAGATACTCCCATTAGAGGTAGATCGGGTATATCCCTGCCTGGAGGAGTGTTTGTCATTAGGCTAAGAAGAAATTCGGAAACTGTTGTATAAAAACTGAGTGATCTCCGTATAAGATTCTTGTCGAGAATACCTGCATCAGCACAAATCTTTGATCTAAAATAAACAAAAAAACAAACATTTTAACAAACCATAAAAAAGTCTATTTTCAGAAGTAGAAATATACATTTGCGTCGCTTTTGAAGGCGCCAGCTTTTTGAAAATTTTATTTATTGAACATTACTATAAAAATATACAAAAATAATTTTAAGGGTAATACATATTTCTTTTAATATTATTATAAAATATCAATAAAAATCATTAGGAATAAAGGAAAATAAATATTCAAAATATCAAGAGAGTCTATTTCTTGCAGCTTTTCTAGAGCTATTGAAAGACGTACCCAAAATATTAAATTTAATGATTTTGCACTTCTTTGCATTCTTGTTAGATAACTAAATAAGCTATAATTAGTTCTGTAAAATGGAATGAAGAATAAATCATTTTGACAAGTATATCTTACTGATACTTTAAACTGAAGTGATTCTAAAAGTCCGGTACAATGAATAGATCCTGAAATTACTTTATGCAAAAATAATAAATCTATTATACCCCTAACAAAATCGGAAGTTGAATTTGCGCGGCATAACTGCCTCTAGTTTTATAAAAAAAATGTTTCACATATAAGACTGCAACGAGAAGAACGAACTGCTGCTTCTATCCCGGTAGTGAGCCGCGGTATGAGATGAGTGACAATAAGCACCGGTCAGCCAACTGGCTTGGATGAAACGAACTGATGGTCTGGTAAAAAATGTAATTTGTTGCATTCTACAGGCTTTTTTGGTTGTCGATTTCTAATTATGTGCAATTCCTACCAACGGCATATCGAAATTTCTAGGAGCTTGATGACATAATCTTTTAAAAGACGCATATATTGCAGTTAATTAATCCTAAAGCTTTTAATGAATTCGCAAGAGTTTCTCTTGTATTTGAATTATTAATTAAATTATTATTCGTGATTGAAGGGGTTAATTATTATTGAAGAATGAATTATTTAATTATTAATGGATTGATCGGTTTGGCAGTCAGGACTGGGCTAGCCTGATGTATTAATGTTGGATATATTTCTAACACTTCTCTTATCCTGGATAAACGATTATGAGCGGCCAGAACACAAGGATCTAAAGTTAAAAAAAATAACTAACTTATTCAGTTTTTTCAATTGTTGTTTCCATCTCTTAATGAACTGTTTATTTCTGCTGGCGAATGGGGTATTGCGCCACTGTACTTCAGCTGCTGCAGTCTCGTCAAGCAATTTCTGAAGGTCTTTGATAGCCCTCAATCTTCTTTGGTACTTCTGTAGCGCGGGTAAAAGTGACAAGTGATGGCAGTGTAATGTTAAAAACCAGCATATCGTTGAGAAGTTCGGGGGTTGGTGTTCATGGGCATTTCCTAAAACAAAAAGAGTCCATTCAATGTTGGTCACAAATAATCATATCAAAATCCTAATAGAAGAGACATTTCGTCACATTCATTGGATTCGAAAAGACATGACAAATTATAATGTAGCAAATTTCGATAAGATAACCTGAAAGATATTTACCAAATTCTTTGATCCAATCTGCTACTTCTTGGGACGTGAACTTGAGCCTTGTATCATTCGTTATATTTACAAGTGTTTCGGGATGGAAAGGATACATGAAATCCACTTTATTTAACTTAATTTTAACCGAGAGGAATTGCAAAACGCTCAATAGATTTAACATAAATCCATCTCCAGCTAGAGCTCTTTCTTCAGTTTGCAATTGCGATCTGCAATGAAATATACAACTCTTTAATTAAATATCTTTTATGTATACAGTGGAATCTATTAGTTAGAAAAAGTCCATTGTCACCTATTAGAGATAAAAAGAAATATTTACTGGAATAACTTTTTAAACGGATCACCCTGTATTTTATTTTATATTTGAATTAACTTTGCTTTTCTCATTATAACATTACCAAATAATAGTATATGGATATGTCACAGGATATGACAAGAATTATATGAAAAGCGAATTGATTGACCTGTACAGGGTGGACCACCAAGAACTGCAGTGATCGATATTTCAGAAAGTGGATGTAGGAAAAATTTAAAAATTTGGGAACTTGCTAGATGTCTTGGGGTTTACCAAGCTAAAATATTTTCTCCACGGCCACTACTGAAGGTAGTTTCTTCCAAAACCACTTATAATAACAGAAAGAAAACATTTTCGCTCTTGAGATTAAAAGAAAATTCTGAAATACATGAGTCTTTATGTATTTTACACGTATTTCATTCTAACTCTAGTGACAGAATGCTTATTCTATAATAGCTACTGACCAATGGCTGTAAATGTAAATATCACGACTGCATTATAGATAGCCATGCATTTCATGATTGACAGTTCTACGTGACTGATTATTATTTGACAATATATAAAAGAATTGACTGTCAATTGTTTCTTTTGCAGTATACAGGTCATTGAAATCAATAGGATTTTCATATAAAACTAGTTACATCTTGTGAAATATCGTGTGTATTCCCATACTATTTGGTATTGTTATAATGGGAAAAGTGAGGGTAATTCAAATATAAAAAAAACATGTTTGTTCCTGAATGAAGATATTGATGAAAGAAAATAATTATAAAATATGAAGTTTAATTCTGCCTACCATCCTGTAATTATTATATTTTTATTATATCTAATACTGCCAGATATATTGAACTTTTTCACATTTGACATTTAAAAATCGATATTGTTACCTCTTTTCGTTGTATTTTAGAACCTCTGCAATATAATTCAGACAAGGATCTCTACTGTCTTGATTAGCCATTAAATAATGAAAAATTCTGTGTTGCAATCCTCTCGTATTTTCCAATTCAGATTGCAACACCTGTATTAAACTTTTATCGCTCAAAGCATTGCCAGAAAAGAACTTTTCCGCCACTTTCGGTTCGTCTTCAGCGAACACGGAAATATTCAAAAAAGGTCCTAGAAACGAACATCTCACAATTTCTCGTCCCGCCGCTGGAGTGCAAACCGCAGGTATGAATTGGAGTTGCTTTATGAGAAGCGAACAAATCGGCCTGGGTCCGCATCTGACGTCCGTCAATTCAAACAATGTTTGAATCGGTATGCGATGTTCATCGCCAACTATACTAGCTTGCTGCATCATTTTGAATAATCCCTGCAGAATGGGACTGAAAACTTTAGAAAATAGGTTTTCGTTTGTATGTATTCTACTTATTAGTTCAGTCAGAAAGCCTCTGGGAATCGATTGTTGCAGAACTGGATGCAAAAGTGGTGAATTCATTTTATTATCTTGATTTATAATAGAACCTAAAATAATAGTTTGTATTAGAAGGACGAAAATTTTAGTTTTTCGGGCGACTACGAGAAATAGGAATCCAAAAAACACTTTTCATCCGTGTTTTATACATTATTTTGTTATTCGAATATCCTCAGATATTATAAAAAAATACTAAGATGGCTGTGATCTCATAAAAGGCATTATAAACAAAAGAATAGTCAGTGGGAAGGTTTGGTATGTCTAAAGGGTTGCTACATACGATGTAATCTATCTAAAATACGAGTAATCATGAATAATTGATTATTTGATGTCGAACACAATGAAAACATTATTTAAAAAAAAAAAAACCGCTTATACATTTTTTCATAAATGGCGACTATTTCGAATAAAAATGCCAATATGGAAGGCTATGTCGCAACCCTTTTAGATATACGAACCCTTCCCACTGGCATTTATTGTTTGACAGGTCGTTGGAATACCTAATTAGGTATTCCTGATTTGACAGGATCAATGAAATAGATAGTTATATAGATTTATTATCCATGTTTTTCATGCCTCAAAGTAAAAATGTAGGTAATTATTTTTATTACTATATTTAATGGCTGAAAATTGGTTTGTAAACACATTTTTGCTAAACTAATTCTGATTAATGAGCACTTGCAAGGCAATATGGGCACTCGCAAATGACCCGCTTTGATCAATCTATATTGTCATTGACCCTGTCAATGACAACAGGCACACACTGTTGTCATATCTAAACTATCAGTTTCCACTTGTCAGCATTTTGACAAATCGTTGGAATGCCCAATTTTTTATAACAATTGAAAAATTATTGCTGTCATGTCACTGTGCTTATGTCAAATCAATTATTTAATTTATAGTTTGAGTTTTCTCATATTCAATTCAAAAAGCCATCGTTATTGTTAAAAAGATGAAAATAAAAAAAAAATGTTAAGAAATCGGAAGTGCTTGACTTTTTCGGCCTGGGTCGGAATAGTATATTACATTCGAGATGGGAAAGTGACATTTTTCAGACGAGTGGGAAATATTGTGGCGTGAGGCATAAGCCGAGTATGAAAAATCACTTTTACACAAATTATGTACAATATTTTTCCTACGACCACAAAATAATTTCAATAAAAAAATGTAAAACCAAGAAATCTGGATATGCAGGTTTAATCAAGATGTGGTTTTAGATTTGTTTTTATATGTCTTATTCAATAATGTCTAAGGTATTTTATGGATGATGTTCTGTAGAAATTAAAAACATTATGCTTCCATTTACAAACACTTTCATAGGATGATAAAGGTATAATAAATAATATTAGATACAAAATATTAGAATACAATATTTTCATTATTTTTTTTTAAATAACATAAATAACTACGAACAAGGACTTATTTATTATTAATGCAATGCATGTGTGGTGAAGTAAAAAACACCCAAGTAAACCTTATACTTCACAAATTTCCGAGCTTATGTCACTGAAACCACCCCACTTCTCAGTGCACGTCATCTTCTTTGTCTCTCAGTAGTTATTTATCTCAATTTGCTGTTAAAGCTTGATTTTGGACATTTAAACCCCACCACATACTTCACGTAGATACTTTATGAACAATTAGATATTTTATTATTTTGGAAAAAATAAATATTTTTTTTATTATGCAAAATAAAAAAATTATCCACACTTATTGCATAAACTGATACTGCAGCAGCTCATTTCTGTCCGAAAAACGACGTTGACACATTAAAATAAAAAAGGGATTATTTAAATATTTTTCTGACCTACAAAAAATTTATTATTTCTAAATGAAAATAATACAGCACTTATTCACATTTTTTTCTTTCAACTTTGAAATATAAAGTGACATTTTTTGTAATAGTAACAAGTGTCAAAATGATTTACTTCATGAAACCAGTAACCAGTTACATAAAGTTGAACGTTATGTAATTCGTTACGAAAAATGAATTATCACCAGATTTGTGAAAAGAAGACAAATAAAAATAAAACTTTTTTGGCTTTAAACATTTTATTATATAACATTGTTATTAAAAGTTTATTACGAATGAATGAAGGTTATTTTCCATTTTAAATCTGCACAATATAATCAAAACACAATACATGTAAAAATAGCCCAATTTCTTGAAAACTAAATAACTTTAACAAGCAAAATAAATACTCTACAACAAGTGATTGATAATAAATTATACGATTTTCTATTTTTCTAAATATGCCAATGAAATGAATGAAGTTATGCAACTAACAATGCACGAAAGTAATATTGGTTGCATAGTTAGTAATTATAGAAGCATACTCCAACTGAGGTATAACCAATGTTTAATAAACTCTTTTTATGGCTTCTAAAGAGAAATCAAAACAGTTACGCAATATTAACCCTAAGCATTGGGATGATTTTATTGAGATTGAATTTATATGTTCAATAAATCTTAATCTATAATAACTCCTAAATCTTTGACTGAGTTAACCCGATATAATATTGTAAGTTTCACTTTTTGTTCCCTTTAAGGTACCATTTGAGTAGGCGCGTCAAGAGACAAGCGACCACTGATGCGACCCCAAGGTCGAGTAGGACGACAGATGCATAAATGTTACGCTTGGTACATTTCGCAAGCTTGAGAAGTGTCGCGCGACACTTACAGGATAACCATTCGAGGGAACAATCAGCGTTGCCAGACCTACTGTTTTCACGTAGATCCACTGTTTTTGTCTCTAGCAAATTTTGTTCTTAATTTATTAAGTTTGCCTCATTCTTCAGCAAATGGCTAAAGAATATTTTCTCTAGTAAATTTTCTGCAGTAAAAGCAGCGTAATAAGCATCCACTACTCTAGGTTGGCTCCATAAAAAAAAAAAACATCAAGATAATCATTGTTTTTATTTAAAATGAAACAAAGAATTAATAGGGCCTCATAAAAAGAACATGCACACTACGATTTTGAATTATCTGATTCAGACTGATCTAAAAGAAGTAGGTACCTATTATTTTTCATTGTTTTTTTTTTTGTTCCGTACGTTAAGTATATATTAAAAATGTTATTATTTGTGTTTATTCTTTGTTTACCTTCTAATTTGGATCGAAAAAAATTTATTTTTCGTTTCTTATATACTTGTTTTTTTATTTACTACACTGCAAATTTCAATTATTTCCGCCTGTATTAAAATATACTGTTCAGATCTACGGTTTTTTTTTACCCATACTGTTCCAAAATCTGGCAACACTGCCTAGATCGAAAGAAATTTTCAACCTATTCACCTCCAAGCGATGAAGCGATGCTCGAGGACAGTGACCTCGAGTGCGACAGGCAGCAAACCTTTGCCCCGAGTCAGATTCAGAAGTGTCTCCAGGAAGTGTCTCGCCGTGCGAAATGTGTTTCATATAATTGTATGTATTTTAGATGTGAAGCGACACTTCTCGGTCGCGTCGGCGGTCGTATGTCGCGTCGGCGGTCGTCTGTCGCGCCTACCGAAATGGTACCTTTAAAAAAGTTTATAAATCAACATTTACTAACATTCAACTGTATGGTCGCACCATTTAACTAAGTTGTCGAGATCATTCTGAATGAAGGCTTGATAATTAGATGAGTAAATTGGTCTTTACAAGTTTAGGTCATCCGCAAACATTAAGAACTCACAATGTTTAAAACATTCTACTATATCGTTAATAAATATATTAAATAAAAGTGGTAAACAATGAGATCCCTGTGGTAACCTGAGGAAGCCCTTAATTAATCTTGATCTATTACTACCGATTTTAACTTGCTGACTTCGGCCTGTTAAAAAACTTGTAAAACATTTCACCAGCTGAGATGGTACACCAAACGACTCGAGTTTCATTAACAGTATTTCATGATCAACCCTGTTAAAATATGTGTAAACAGAGTAAACTTGCCCTTTAGCTTCTAAAACATTTTTGTTCTTATAACAATAGATTTGTAACTGTAGATTTCTTTTGACAGAAGCCATGCTGGTTCTTGATCAAAAGTTCCTTGCAGTGAAAATTAAGCTGGTCAAAAATTAAGCTGTCCATTAATTTATGTAAAGAAGATTGAATACTAATGCTTCTATAAATATTGATATCAGTCTGTTTTCCTTATTTAAAAATCGGGACAACAAAACTGTGTTTCCAGATATTGGGGAAAACACCAGTATCTATAGATTGGTTAAATAAAATGTAAATAGCCGGTATAAGGAAAAAATGCAATTTGTTAGAAATATATTTGTATGTATTGTATGTAACACTTTAAGAATGCCGTTTTATGTAACTTATACATTTCGCTCTGCTCGTCCCGCAAAAAGTCACTCATAACATACAAAAGGCATTTCGTAACTGGTTAGATAAATAGCTATGTTATTATTTTGGTAGGTATAAGACATAATATTTTTCTTACCTTGAACTACAACAGTAGTGTAATGTATAATCTGAGCCCTCAATTCAGTCAACACTTCACTCATTGGAGGAACACTCGATTTCTTCGGATTGTTTCTTTCTTCAACACTAACCCTATTGTATGAATCCATTAAGAAATTCATTGCTAAGGTACTGATATTTTCATCCATATTGTTGTTATTATTACTCTTAATCGTTAAAAGTGGTATAGGACAACCTCCCGTAGTAGGACTAGACGATGGACTCAAATTAGATGGACTCGATTCTATACTAGCAGATTCGCACATGTCAGATATAGGTTGAGGCACATTCTTAAAAGGATTTTCTCCTTTCACAAATTTAAACATTATTTCCATAATAGCATTTGAAGTGAGATCACGTATAGGTATTGAGGGGGTTTCTTGAAGCAATTTGGCAGTTTCTGATAAATACAAGCCAGCATCTAATGATTCTTTGAATGTGACATGTAAAACACGTGCTACTGAAGATTGGAGCTGTTGCAAACTGATTTCGGTTGAACTTATTTGTTTCCTTTGCACATCTTTCTTTAGAATATCCAAATCATCAACCTGAATAATAAATAATACTTTTTAAAATTGTAAATATCTTAACAGTTTTTACATTTTTCTGTGTTAATTATAGCTTGTAAGTCATCACTAATATAGGAAATAAGTAAACATAAAACATGACCAGTTGCAGCGCGGCGAAAGGGTCGTTGTATAATATAGGACCCTATTCTAGGATAGAATTTAAAGGGAACCCATTGTTTAAAAAATATTTTCTTTTCGTTTTGGTAATTAAACAATGTTGGACCTAAATATACGTATCTTCTTTGTCCTATAGATTTAGAAGTTATTGATACACAGTGTGTTTTGTTCTTGTTTTTATTTTTATATTTCTGACAACCTAGCTGGATACTATATAATTGCCTAATATCTAATGTTTTTTCTAATTCACTATAAAGAAGATTGCATGAATATATTGCTGGTTTATTGAGCATTATTCAAAGAAATCGTTTTTGAAAAACTTCAAGTACACGAAGGTAAATTCTTGATACTCCTCCCCAAGCAATAATGCCATAAAGCAGATATAATTCAACCAAACTATAATATAGCACTTTTTTGTTTATATTCAAAAAATCCTAAAACTATATAAATAAAATGCTATATAGTTTTTTTTGGTAAATAATCTATGTGATAGTCCCATTCTAAGATTTAAGTTGAAATTTTGAATTTTTGGGTATGAGACAGTTGTTCATAGAGACTTAATTCCACATACTTTCCATTATGGGTAGCTTGTGTTTTTGTAGTGAATAAAAATATTCTAAATTTTAAATTAAAATATTTCAAATAATAACCTCTGTAACTAGTAACTTTTTTATTATGAACGTTTTCAAAAAAGTGTATACTTTCATAATCCTTCATATTATATACAGGGTAATAATTAATAAAATTATTAGGGTGTGGTCATGAAAATAGGATAATTGTTCTATTAAAGGTGAGGCGCTATCTTGTAATATAAAATTTTTTCAAGTTTTCATTTCTAAAAAAAGTTTAATCTTTATATTTGGGGTTTAAATCCAATGCACTAATCTGCCATATTAGAAATTAGCAGTAAGTATGGGTAGTTCTGAATAGGAATGTTCTGCAGGGGGTATTCATTCAATGGAGGAAATGATTATACCTAAGGGTAGCTTGGGGCGAAGTGGGGCGGGGTAGTGAGATGAAAAGTATGTGGAATTAGGTCCCCTTATGCACTCATACCTCAAAAATGTAACATTTCAATTTAAATTTTTACCAGACATCCGAAGTTTTAGTGTGGACACCTGGTATTTCATCTTTTCCGCGTAGTTCTAACTTTGTTAGCTTCGTTATCCCCTATCTATTTCCTCCAATATGTCAATCGTAGTATTGTTTAAAGATTATCTAGACTAACTCAATAGAATTGCCTTAAAAAATAATATTATTTGTTCTTCAATTCTACATTTAGTATTTTGATTGCAATATGGTCCTCTTTTGCTCTCATATCATAAAATACATTTCTAATTGCTCCTTTTACAGTATCGCTTTCACCATTGGTCTTTCACTCTGAACAATGCATTTTTAATGGTGTTTACTCACTGTTTTCTTTTTATATGTGCGACACTGTGTATACTGATTTTTAAATCATCTCAACATATGATACTAGGACAAACAAGCTCACTTGGGGTACGAATTTCGAATTGAGCTGCGAATGACGTCATCGCGTGACAGAAGTGTTGGTGACACACGAGGCCTCTATAGCTTTTCACTGTATTTTTGTTTTAAATTGCTGGAATATTCGTTATGACTGTTTATATTATATAATTTAAATAGGTAAAATAAAAACAAGTCAATGTAAAAAATATATAATTCATTTAATTAATAGGAAAACAAATGTATACATTATTCGGTTTTAATCTTAGATTAAAGAAACCGAAGATGTAACATTGCACACTGCGCATGTTGTCTATTTTAACCCCAAGTAACCCACCAATTGAAGATCATTGTTCGCACGTCACCCGAATTGCTCCGATTTTTCCATCTAACGCTCACCTCCGCCTGAGTTCAATCACCATTGACAGCTGTTTTTTGATTTATTTGTTGGTGTTATTAGCAAGTTCAAAATGCCACGATGTAACTTAGAAAAATTGTATATACTTATAATACAAGTACCAATATTATGATAGATAAAAAATATATTCGTTTTCAGCAGTAAATATTTATTAACGTTTTGACATAAAGCGCCATGATCCTTTGGGCTAAATACTTCAGATCCGCATTAAGGGGTTTCAATAAATATTAAGCATCAAATACATATTTAAGAAAACAGATTTCATATTACATAAATTTACAAAAGGGTAAAATTTTGAACATTTAATTTAAATAAGAAGTAAATAGGCATTGTTGCTAAGGAAATTTTGTTTTTAAAAAGTAGTTTTATAAGAATATTTACTAAAGGTGGTTTTTAGCCTTTTTTGGTAGATAAATAAGTAAAGAAGCATAGTTACTGGTAAGTTACACAATAAAAGATAAGACCTTTTGTATCTGACAACTCACTCTTTATTTCCGTCAGATCAACTGACTCCTGTAGACCCAGTAAGTATACATATAACATAAACTAAAACTAACTAAATATCATATATATACAGTAGCTTATTCCCACACCTCCCTCTTGAGTTCGTGATGGCATATTCCACATCTCCCTCTTGAGTGCGTGTATTATCTGTTATTTTCTATATCTTTTTGATAAATCTTCTGTTTCTAATTAGAATTCGCCCACTTGGAGTTTTGATGGTGTATTTTCTATTCTTCCCTAACTCAACTACCTCTCCAATTGTATTCCATAATTTCGTTCTTTTGTCTTGAATTCTAACTTTAGCTCCTGCCGCGATCGGGTTTAAGTTTTTGGCATTTTGGTTGTAATGCGAAATAGCTTGCTCATGTGCTTTCTTTTTAAAATCCATATTTTCAACAGTGTTCTGCCACTCTTTAGAAAATGCCTTGTAATGAGCTGGAACCAATGATCTAATGGGACGTCCAAATAATATTTGGGCTGGAGAACGACCATCAGATTTGGGAACGTTTCGCCACTCCAGAAGTCCGGACAAAAATTTTTGCTCATCTAACTTACCACTAACTGTACATTTTAAGATTAGGTGTTTCATGGCTTTAACGCCAGCTTCTGCATGTCCGTTACTTTGTGGGTACTGAGGACTGGAGGTGCAATGAACAATGTTCCATGTTTTTAAAAATGAACTGAATTCAAAAGAACTAAACTGAGGACCATTATCGGAACGAAAACGTAATGGTATACCTGTATCAGAAAATATTCTCCTTAAGTCGTTGCATATCATTAAACTATTAGGATCTCTAGATCCATAGTGGCATACTATAGGCCACCCAGATAACCTATCTACGTACACCATATAATGTTTTCCTGAACACGAAAAAAAATCAGCTGATACATCTTGAAAAGGTAACGACGGTAACGGATCGCTCATGTATGTCTCTTTCTGTAGAGACGGTCTGACTAGCTGACATGACTCACAACCTTCTACGGTGTTCTTTATGTCATTATTAATATTTGGCCAGTAAACTGTCTGACGTGCTCGACGCCTCGTCCTCTCTATTCCTTGATGAGAGTCATGTAATCTTTCCAGGACAGTTTTTCTTGCTGTTGACGGGATGACGATTTGACATCCTTTCAAAATTAATCCATCGTCAACGCTTAGCTCATCCTTGATACTCCAATATGGTTTTAATACTGGATTTACGTCATTTTTCACTTCAGGAAAACCTTCTTTTATGGTTTTTATCAAGACCTGATAAACCTCATCGCTTTTTGCGGCTTGTTGCAAGCTCATTAACATAGGGTCCTGAAGGTGTGACATTCTTATTAATTCATCAGTGTTATCAATTAAAGCAATCTGTTGAATAATAAATGACTGAATATGAGTATTGACTTCTTCTCCCATTAAGTCTTCATCCTTTGGAATATCTATGGGTGCTCTGGAAAGTGCATCTGGGATGCGGTGATCCTGTCCTTTGATCCATTCTGCTTTGAAATTGTATCCACATAGTTTTTCTGGTATTTTTTCCACGTTTTGAAATACTAAATAATTTTCAAATTTACGCCTCCAGTCTTTAAATTGCGAGTAACTTAAAGTCTCTACTATCTTCTCTGGGCTGGCAACAGCACTCGAAAAGCGAACAGAAGTATTAGGTGAGTTTTCACATGTAGGAACGCTTGTATCGTTCCCTCTATCATTTCCATTAAATGTACTAATGTTCTGTTGAGAAAGTGTCATTGCAGGTGCAGGCCTCTGAGTTTTTATTAGTTCTCGCATCATTTCTTGTAAACTGTTCACACCTTCTTCAAGCGAAGTCAGGCGACCCTCAGTTGACTCATCTTTCTCAGACGATTTTGAGCGCTTCTTCTTCGGCATTCTAAGTTTTCGTTTTTAGGTTTTCTTTTGGAAACGTTGGTTTATAATTATTTTAACTGCGCCATGGTAAGTTACACAATAAAAGATAAGACCTTTTGTATCTGACAACTCACTCTTTATTTCCGTCAGATCAACTGACTCCTGTAGACCCAGTAAGTATACATATAACATAAACTAAAACTAACTAAATATCATATATATACAGTAGCTTATTCCCACAGTTACTAGCTAAATTTTATTTTTATAAGGCATTTTTATAAGAATATTAGATGAAATACAGAATGACCTACTTTGAATCTTAAGTCTTAAAACAAAGTAAAACCCACAATATAATCTAGTATAAGCAAAAAAATACTTAAGTTACGGGAGTTAGTCACATTGTTAATAAAATGTTATATTATAAACCCCTAAACAAAAACAAAATTATCGTTCACTAAATCCAAATTCTAGCAATATTTATTATTTATTATACAATCGAAAGCGGTTTTAAAGATAAGTGGATCAAAAAATCCGAATCTCTAAATTTTGGAGCTAAATGCTCGGATAAAAGCAAGCGACCGATAGGGGTTACAAAAACAATCGATTTATCAATTATTCTACTTTTTTTATGAAAATCGATTTATCCGTTATTTTTAATAAAATATTTTTGTTTTTTTAAGATAATGTAATAATCGATTTTAAAGAAAATAGAAAAAGAAAGTAGATTTATGCAAAATATTCGATTGATTGAAAATAATCGATTTTTTTAAATCGATTTATCGTTTTTTTAATCGATTATTTTCGATTTTTCAAAGGTATTATATGAAAATAATCGATTGATCGAATATAATCAGTAATTTTATATAACCGATATTTCGGTTATTTTTTAGAATTATCGATTTATAATCGATTATTTTCGATTTTCAAAGATAAGAGAATAATCAGTGTTAAAGGAAATAAGAAAAGGATTATTAGAAAATGGTCGATAATTCGCTTATTTTTTGGAAAAAATATTTATTGTAGAATCGGCTTCTTAATTAATTGATTATTTTCGATTAAGCGATTATTTTGGAATAATCGAATATTTTCGGTATTTCAAAGATAATCGAATTATCGATTTTACAGGAAATACAATTAAAATAATTTATTGATAAATAATCGATTGATCGAAAATAATCGATTATTTAAAATAATCGATGATTCGTTTTTTTTTTAAATCGATTTATCAGTTAATCGACTTTTTAATTAATCGATTACTTTCGATTTTTCAAATATTATCGAATAATCTGTTTCAATGGACAAAAAATAAAATGGATTATTTGAAAATAATCGATTATTTAAAATAAACGATAATTCTTTTATTATTTTTTTGTAAACACTGATTTATCGGTTAATTAACTTTTTAATTAATCGATTTTTTTTTATTTTTCAAGTCGATTTTAAAGGAAATACGACAAAAAAGAGATTGTTTGAATAATCGATCGATCGAAAATAATCGATTATTTTCAATGATCGATAATTTGTTTCGATAATCACCCACCCCTAGCGACCAAATGACTTTTAAAATGTTATCTGGTTTCAAATACATGCATTTCTAGAGTTTTATGTGACTCATCCTCTATATTAATTAATATTCCTAAAGAAAGAAGCTGAGCTTACAATACGAAACAGCATTTTCTCATTTTGACTAATTTTAAATATTATGTAATAGCCGTAGAAAAAATATAATGTCCAACTCACAAGGTTTGATTTGCAGTATTCACATGCGCACATGCTTTTTTTATAATACTCGTAGACAATGAGTACCATTTCTTGCTCTATTAACAATATTGTATTTCAACATTTTACTGTAGTCTCTTGCTGAAAAGTCCGTAGTAAATAAACGCTAACGAAATATTCTATAAAAGGTCTTCTCTTTACATAAAATGTCGTGGCATCGGTTTGATATTAAAAAATCACGTTAATTTTATTTCATAATACAAAATTCCCATTATGATGCTAATAAACAAAGTCCGGTCCCTGTCACAGAGTTCGGGTCTCTGCCCAGTTCCCCCACTCCGTTAACCTTTCTTTAGAAATTGGCAACATTTGCGCAGGTTAAACACCGGTGTATGTTATATCTCTGGTCTCTTTTATCTAAGGTTTTAATTTATGTACATTATAAGATATTTTTGTGCATTTAACTTATAACCAAATAATTGATAACCACTATTGTAATAAATCAATTAAGGCTTTTAAAATAGTTTTATTTGCACAGTACAAAAGAGCTAAAGAAATTAGGATTAAATTTTTGTTTGTAATTAATTTTGGAAAATAGTTTTATGATTTATTTTATAATTATATAGGTACCTAAAGACTTTTCATGCCGTACTTATGATGTATAAATTTAAAGTTTTCTATATTTATTTGATTTTTGACATTTTGAGCTTTCAAATTTTGGAGGTTTCTTTAATATTTTTATTAAGAATTCTTATTTTAAAATACATTTTACATCTGATAAAGAGACTTTTAGCCTCGTTCAGTAAATCCACATTTTTTGCAAAATTATTTAAATTTTTAAGAGTTGTTTTTAATTTTCAACGAGTTTCTATTATAATTGTTAAATATTATGATCGAGTTTGTTGCATTTTGTTAAAAACTCCTCAGTGGGCATTTGTAAGCCATTTGTAACCCAAGAAAATGAAGCTTCGTTACAGTCTGGAATATAGCCAAGCTTCTTTTTTTTATCTTGAATGAAATAAAACCGGAAAAACTTTCTAAACCATCCCATCATAGTTCTGTCAAATTTGTGTATACGGGTCACATATTTTTTCTTGCTGTCACCATAGGATAAATCTAATGCACTAAACATTTCCCCTATCTTGGCCTCAGAAAATTGTCTGTTTAGGTAAAGGTACAGCATCATCTTTCAGTTTCCACTTATTTTTCGGCAATTTCAATAGTTTTTCTTTAATACACAAATCTTCATCTGAACAATGCAGCCATAAATTTCGAGTCTTCTTAGCAGTTGCATATAGTTTTTTCTGTATATTATTGTTACTCGTACAACTAGTCTCTGCACAGCAAACCATTATTTCTTAATGAACAAAATAACTAAAATAACGTATTCACACCAAATTAAAACACATTAAACTGAGAAAAGCGAACTAAAATGCATGTATTTAGCTATTATTTTCAAATAACATGCCAAACATTTGTCGCGCGTTAACTTTAGCTGAGGAAGAGAGAGGGAAGATATCATGAGCATGAGCTTATCTGTTTGTCCTAGTATCATGATCTCAACTCGCTCATGCACAGATGAAAATGGCATCAAAAGTAATTTTCTTGTCATCTAATTGTCACCCAAATGATACTACATAAAATGTTTTTTTTGCAATGTACATTAAATGTAAATTACCAAATATATGTTGTGATTTCCCTGATACTAATAAAGCATTTGAAATTTGATTTCTCCTTGGTAAAGTACAACAAATTAAGGACAAATTGTCTATTTTTTTCTACTTATCGTGCTTCCTGGCATAATAGTTTTGAAACATTATGACCGAGAATATATATTTTCAATTTAAAAATAACATTTAAATTTCAGGGTTTGAAAGGAAATGTCAAATTCACAAAATACAATTTTAAAACATAATTTAAGGCGTAGTTCACTAAACAGTACTAACGCTACCGTGACGGAAGCAAAAAGATAATGCAAAAGTCTCAATAAATCGTTCATTGTATGGTAAGATTAGACATAGGCTCGTAATATGTTGAAATAACATACATGTACACATTTATATACAGTGTGGAAACCACTTATGGAATAAAATTCTTTATGTCATTATTTTAGAAAATTGTAAAAAATGCCGAGACACGTCAACTTTTGAATTGAGTTGTGCGTTATGTAAACATAAATTTAAATGTACAGGGTGATTCACGCAAGTATGCCATAGTCGGTGTTGTTTTTTTTTTAATGAAACACCCTGTATATTTGCATATTTTTGAAATCCTCTTAATGAACCGATTCCAACAAACTGAATAATGTATGTATGCAAATATACAGGGTGTTTCATTAAAAAAAAACAACACCGACTATGGCATACTTGCGTGAATCACCCTGTACATTTAAATTTATGTTTACATAACGCACAACTCAATTCAAAAGTTGACATGTCTCGGCATTTTTTATAATTTTCTAAAATAATGACAAAGAATTTTATTCCATAAGTGGTTTCCACACTGTATGAGAAACGAACGAATTTACGTTTAGAAGCTGACAACTAGGTAATAATCATCATTGCGCCCCCCCCCCACGCCCCACTCCTGCGACCCCCACGCCCCACTCCTGCGACCCCCCACGCCCCACTCCTGCGACCCCCACACCCCACTTCTCCCACTCCTAAATTTGTAATACAGAGCTTTTTCATTGTTTTTAAGAATAAGGAAATAATATTGGTGTTCACTGTTTACTTGTATTAGTTGACAAAATATTTTAAAAACGAATTCCATTATAAAATGCGCCTCAAATCAGACCCATGAATAATTTTATATCTTAAAAATTGTTAAATACATCACAATTGAAAAAGTAATCAAAAAAAAAAAGTGGGGTTTCCATTAAAACATTTTGTGCTCAAGGCAATACCTTGTCTGTAATGACAAATCTAGGTACAAGCCAAAATCAGTGAAATGGACTATAAACACTATTTTTTTACTTACTTCCATATTTTCAAAGCCCGAATCAATGTCAGTATTGGCACTAATTTTGTCAGCTCCAGAAATATTGTCGTCCACTTCCATATGGATAGAACTTGTTTCAGAATCACTTCTTTGTGGAGGAGCCCTTGATCTACCTTTTGAACTCGAAGGCATGTTAATGTCTATGGGTTTAGAAGGTTCCTTAAACACATCTCCAGTTTTTTTCTCTAAATCTGCAGTTTTTGAATCAGTATCAAGAGGTGTCTGTTTCGGTTTTTCTAAGGGATTAACATTAGATCGAAAATTTTCGGAAATTTGGATTAAAGGAGAATTTATTGGAGATTGGGAGGTGGGGGTTATGGGGGGTGATAAGGAGGTTGAAGGAGATGTGGACTCTCTTGCTGTTAGTCTTGCTAATCGCCTTCTTCTTATCTAGAATTAAAAATTTAGGTACCATTTTGGTTTTTACTATTACTATTTCTTAGGAACAGTAACAATGACAATAGTATAATCGTAATACTGAATGGACTTTGGACAGAATCACAGACAGAATTAAAAAATAGATAATTGACATATAGAGAAAAACAAGTGTGCCCTGAGGTTCAAGAAAACCCCACCGTCAATCAGAAAGTAAACTCATGATTCCTTCAAAGAGGTAATAAACTATTTTAAAACTATAGTTGCCGTGCCTAAGAGATGGAGCAAAAAGACTCACTCCTCATCTATAGTTGAAGACCTTTAGACAGCAATCCAACACTTATTTTAGGCTAATGTACAGAATAAATGCAGTGATTATCTCTTCGGCGCGGCAACTAGAGGTATATTTCCAGTTTAGGGTATCGAAAATAAAATGAATAGGTGCCACATATGTACTGTCTGACATAAATTGCAAATAAAAGAGAAAAAGTCTATGAGACTTTATCAACTACTTTAGAACATCAAAATTAAAAAAACAATAATTATGATTTTATTGGCACATAAAAATTACAAAATAACAAAATGGTAAACAAGGCTAGAGAGGCGTATCTAGACGACTTTGTTAAACAGTTTGAAAGGGTAGGCTGGTTGACAAGCTAAGAGGAAGTTACTTCTAACAAATTAAAAAAGAATAATGAGAGGAACATATCGCAGATAACTACGCAGTTATGTCGGCTTGTTGTCGTGTCAATGAGACTTAATACAATCCTCGTCAACGTCAACTTTAACAAATAAAATTGGCACTTTATATTTCTAACATAAGATCCGTATTTATAAACCGAACTTGGACGAGCACGAGAAATGTGAAGTTCAGGTATAGCTGCTCTAGATATCTAGCCATGAGCTATATTTATGGATGTGTCTCTATATTCTATCTCTTTTGCTGGCTAATTGTATACAATACCACTCTTGCATATTTGCTGACAATCTAGTGAATGGTAAAATTAAATCCTCAGAACTATTAAGTTATTTAAATTTTCATATTCCTAGACTTGTGAGCAGACTTAACCAATGTTTCTACCTTCAAACACCTTGCACTAACATTTATGCAAAATCGCCAATGTTTTCAACATGTTCTATCTACAATAACTTTTGCAGTGGTTCCAATATCTAATTTGATTCATTAACATGTTTTAAAAATAGAATTAGAAAAACACTGTATCAGTCTCAGACTTAAAACATATGTTTATTTGTTGCTTATTTGTTTATTGTATATATTTTTTTTATCTTTACACTTTATTATATTTCTATTTTTCAAATTTCTAGCATTACCTATTAAATTGTTCTGTAATTCCCTGAACTTCGATTTTCATCCAAGGATGGGCTTCGCCAAGTATAAATACCTAAAGACTAACTTCATAATTTTTGTATTTCCTATTAAAACATTTTCATGTGGTCACTCAGTACCAAATTATTGAAAACGGAAATATTTATTCAATGATAAGTAATATATTTATGTAAATAAGTAAATAACTCAAAACAAAATATTGTTTATATTTAAATAGATAAATGGTTATCTTTATTTTATTTTAATTTTACTTAAACATAAACATAGACCTATCTATTTATCTATAAAATCAATGAAATAACATTGGATGTGTCCACCCTTTCCTTTCAACTTCATAAAATGACCTTAGTTAATAAAGCATTAATATATAAGTACAATATTATACAGCTTAGGAAAAAAGTATATGAACCATACAATCCTGGCCTATATTTGTAACACATCGTACTTGTACAATGTACTTTTTGATTTATACCATAAAATTCACGAATATTCCATCTATTTATGGTTCTTAAATCTTATTTTTGAATTTTTGTTTTTCTTGGGACGTAGATGATCTTTTTATTATAAATAAAACCACAGTATTCAGTCAAGCTTTCAGTCTCTGTTCTGAGCCTTCATTAGTACTTTTTTATTTTACATATTATTACAAATTTTTTTTTTGTTATTAGTGAGACATTTTAAATATATTTTATCTTCTAAGTATTACTTTTATTTTTTTATTATTTTTTGAATAATTATATACTATGGTATCTATTTAACTAATCTTTTAACAGTTTTTTTTTAATTGTACAAAATTGGGTCAGGTACGCTTGAAATTTGGTGTTCTTTTATTTGTTTCGCCCATACATGAGTGTATAGTTGGTTTTTCGTTTTTGGACCCTCATCAAACTTGGACAAGAAGTTACAATTATAATTTATTGTTTTTTGGTCTTGTACCATGTATAATTTGCTTTTGAATGTAAATAATACATGAAAGTTATTCGTTTTTAACAAAAAAATTAATACTTATTCTGCAGTAGTGTAAAAAATAATGTGTAAAAGTTGTCAGTGCACTACTAACTTTTTTAATATTAAGTTAGTTTTAAGAAATATTGTGTAGGACAATATGTATACCTATCTAGCTTTGACCAACAATTTCACAATAATGTAAATATTGAAGGAATTGTCTGACTACGAAAATCAGAAAAATTTAATTTTTCTATATATTGGAAGTTAAAAGCTCAGTATTTTGTTTAAATATTGTTAGTTAGATAATAATGTTCTCCAGTTTATTTGGACTTCACTTACATGTCCCACATAAATAATAAACTAGACTTAGGATAGCACTTCTAATATAAAGATATTTCTCAGTATTGAACTCTTTACAGGAGTGCACAAAAAGGATGAGTTCCCAATTAAATTGGCAGGCAAATTCAAGGAGTAATGAAGATTATGTAAAAAAAAACTAGTGAAAATCCATCAAGCTTACCTAGAACAGGCACAAACAGTAATACAGAAAAAACTAACATGGTATGGACATAATAAAAAGTGACTGAAGCAGGAATCCAGTACAGAAAGAATAAAAAGATTGGTAGTTAAAGTAATACATCTAGAGAAAGGAAAAATTATGAATGAAATAATTGACAAAGAATAGATCAATGTAAAAAAAATCATAAACTTGGATACCTGGCACAAAAATGAGAGAAAAAGAAGAAATTCAGATTAATGTTAAATGACAAATGCCTTAAAAGTAAAGTTTGTTTTAATGAATAATTTATCAATGTACATTTTACATAATGAGATATTATAAACCAATGATACAAATAAAGTGTCTTAAGAAGTGAAATTACTTAACTGTTTACTTGCCCTTACGAAAACATCTAATAATGAATTCTTCAAATTTTGTTTGACTCTGGTGCAATGATTATAAAACCCTGATTAAAAAATAGAGTAGATTCAGTTATTGATTTATTAATTTTTGATAATTTACTGCCTAAAGTGTATACTATCTTAAAATATCTACCTTTGTTTTTAAAGAATGCAAAATAAAAATAGAATTTGATGAACAAATAAACTATCAGCAAAAGTGGTTAAAAAATAAAACAATGTATCTGACTCCACATTTTTCATTTGGACCATTCATGCTAACAAAAAAATAGGTAGTAAAAATAAATCTATTCTCAAAGTAAGTCGTAGGTAAATAAAGTCTACACTCTACACACCAAAACAAAAAAATGGAATATAAAAAAATGTCTACTCATTTGTCTAGTCATTTTTTATTCTAAAGAATAATAATAGACCTCAATTTTATATAAATAAAAGCTTTCCTAGAAGGTCATAATTTAATAATATAAACTTTAAATAACAATTGTGGACAAAGGAATCTATAAAAAGACGAAGCATGATAAAATAAAGTTAACATTTTTTTAGCAAGGAACCGAATTGATTCCTTGGAGGCACTTTTTAAAATCAATATTTAACATTGAAATAGGTATCTCATTTTCATTTATTTTTTAAAAATCTGAAAATAGCAAGGTGTTTATTTATCTCGAGCTTTTAAGCAAATGCATTGTAACCTGTTTTGTTTATATTTGAAATAAAAACTTACCTCTTCTTGGGTCAATTCGCTCATGATTGATAGTTTTACTATAATATAATTGATTTTAATTAATATTTGTACAAAACCCTTTCAATTTAGTTAAAACGGGTACCAAATAACCAACCACTAAACCAATTTTTTAGACGTCAAACAAATGTCAGTGTGTAATTGTACAGTCATGCCATTTCATTTTGTTATGACGAGTTTGACGAGAAGCGAGAAGGTCGATTAGAATCAGTGTTGCCAGAATATATTTTTGTAATGTACCAGATTTATCTAAAAAATGTACCAGATTTCATAAAATGTACTAGATTCTATAAAATTACCAGATTTTTCTAATTATGAAGTATGGTCATTAAAGAGCAAAAAAAGGTTTATAGAGAACACGAACACAATAATTTTAAACAATATTTTATCTCTCGATAAATTTCCAACAGTATTCTATATCTCTCGAGCAATTTTTAGCAACTTTTTGTTTATCCCTCGAGCAATGTTTGTACAATTTTTAACGCTATTTAATCCCTCGAGCAATTTTTAACAGCCTTTTTTTTACCTGTCAAGCTATTTTTGAACAATATTTGATCTCTCGTGCAATTTTTGAGCACAATTTTAACAATTTCTAACACTATTTTATTCTCGAGCAATTTTTGAAAAAGATTTAACACCTTTTGATAATATTTTATCTCTCGAACAGTTTTTTAACAAATTTCTAACAGTATTTTATCTCTCGAAAAATTTTTAACAACTTTTTTATCCCTCGAAAAATTTTTGTTTAAAATTTTTTGTACAATTTTTAACACTATTTAATCACTCGAGCAATTTTTAACAGTTTTTTTCAAGCTATTTTTGAACAATATATCACTCGTGCAATTTTTGAGCAAAATTTTAATAATTTCTAACACTTTTATCTCTCAGCAATTTTTATTAACATTTTTTATCTTTCTAAGAATTTTTAAACAACGTTTTATCTTTCGAGAAATGTTTAACAGTATTTTTTAATTCTCGAGTAATTTTTGAATAAGATTTTAATAACTTTTGTTACTATTTTATCTCTCGAGCAATTTTTAACAACTTTTTTATCTCTTTGGCAAACTGCACAATATTTTAACTCTCGACAAATTTATAAAAATATTTTTAACTCTCGATAAATTTTAAACAATGTTTTATATCTCGAGCAATGTTTGTACAATATTTTATCTCTCGAACATTTTCTAATAGTATTTTATCGTTCGAGGAATTTTTAAACAATGTTTTATCTCTCGAGATATTTCTAATAGTGGGTATATCTCATCTTGAGTCAATTTTGAACAATATTTTATTTCTCAACAAATTTTTCAATAGTATTTTTATCCCTACAGCAATTTTTGAACAATATTTTACCCGTCAAGCAATTTCTAATACTATTTTATACTTCGACCAATTTTTAACACCCTTTCTTACGTCTGAGGCCATTTTTGAACAATATTGGATCTCTCATGCAATTTTTAAACAATGTTTTATCTCTCGAGAAATGTCTACTATTTTATGTCTGAAGTAATTTTTAACAACTATTTTAATTTCTCTTGCAATTTTTGACCAATATATTTTACACTTCAAATGGAAACATACGCTGAAAAAAGTACTAGATATTGTTTCGAGTGTACTAGAGTACCAGATTCTCAGAGAATGTACTAGATCTAGTACAATTGTACTAGACTGTCAACACTGATTAGAATCGATTAAAAATAAAGGGAGAGCCAACGTATAAAAGAAAAAAATCTAAAATAGGCAAAGGTGACTTTTATGTTTAGGCAATTTCCTGCTTGGACATTCTCTAATATGACGTCATTAGAGGTTTCTAAGTTTTGCAATGGAATTTGTTGTAAAATATATTATTCTTTTTCATCTAAAACTACAATTATTGACTTCATGTTCTACGTAGGTTCTTTTGTTTACTATCGCCACTTAAATACGGCACTAAGTCAAACGATTTTCCTTTTTTTTTATTTGATAATTTTAATTCTACCTACTGATTTTCAGAATTTTCGGTTTAAAACTTTATAATGCATTTATATATCGATGTTTTTAAAATGCAATGATACCTAATGCATTTCTTATGTGATTTATTTTATACACTGCAATACTGCATGATTTCACTATATATGGATAGATATGCATGCATAAGCTTATAAACTCTGTAAAACCAGATGAATATATATTTTTATATTGCCATTTTTCTTAAACATTTTTTGAACTACATTTAAAAGAGGTGATAAATTGAAAATAAATAGATTTAAAATGAAATAAATATGGATCTTACGCTTAAAACATATAGGATATGGTGAAAGTAGCGATGATTTTTGCACGACTTTTAACGAACTCCAGAATTGAACTGGTACCTAAATTTTATATTAGGATTAAAAATAAAAAGAGCCTAATTATTATATTTACATGGACAGGCTTAAAGGGTAAGTATCCCAAATATGCGCTTAAGGGGTAAACGGCCCAAATATTTTTACATTTATAGACGTATTGATAAAGGGACCAAATATATTGATATGGACAGGCTTAAGGGATAAAGGGTACAAATATTTTTACATTGACAGGCTTAAGGGGTAAATGGCTCAAATATTTTGAATATTTTTACATAAAAAGGCATATAAAAGAACCAAAGATTTTGATAAGAGGTTTAAGGAATAAAAGGACCAAATATTTTTACATAGCCAGGCTTAAAATATAAATAGGCCAAATATTTTTAGATGGGTAGTCTTAAGGAGTAAATACTAAATATTTTAACAGCCAGGCTTAGGGGTAAACGGCCCAAATATTTTTACAAAAATATTAGAATTTCAAACAATTTTTTAAGAAAAATAAATTTTCAGACAGAAGGAAAAACACCTTTTCAATCACATTATACTGTTGTTAGAAAAGTGGCTAAAACAGTGGATTGATGAACACATCTAAACATATTTGTTGTTTGTCACTTGTCGATTTTTGTAATAAACAAAATAAATCATAAAAACAAATCTCTATTTGAAAAAATGTACAAGTTAACAGTTTGTGGTTTGTTTGTTACAAAAAAAAATAATTTTTAAGATGTCACTAAAGATAAACAGAAAATAATTAGATTTAAATTAACACTAGTTGTAAAAATAATTAATAATAAACTTCTTTTATAAATTTCTGTTTATTACTAATTATTAAATTTTCCTCAGTTCATTAATCACAAAAACATGTAATTTAACTAGATGAATTAAACTCCTTTCCTCCATTTTTCAGCAGTAGCAAATTCAGTCATAGGTTTTCCACTTATTCCACAAGTTCCAATTCCTACCCTACCATTAACAGAATCAGGCGAAGCAAAAATACTTTTCGTTTTAAGGCCAGTTTTCTTTTTGGTGGCTTTACTGGCAAAAGCAAGCCATTTCTTTTTTTCACCTTCACGTTCTTCTTCCAACTCTTTAAATCTTTGTTGTTTCTTTTGTTTTTTTCTTTTTAAATATTCTTTGTTGTGCATTTTAGCTTTTTTCATTTTTTCGGATTCTGAAAGTACCCGCTTCTGTCCTGTGAATTCTCGTAGTTCATCTAGTGTTGTTATACCTCTGTTTTTATAAGTTTCAAATGTAACATTCACTTGACCATCTGGATTAATTGCATCTATTCTAGCTTCTGCATACTGTCCGTTTTCACTCCATTTAGCCATACAAATGTCCCCAATTCTCCACATTTTTTTAGTTCTATTCCTAGCGACAAATTCTTCAACAGCAAGAAGAGACTTAGTAATTTCATCATCTTCAGCAACCCCAACAGGTTCCGTATATTCAGGTTGATTTGCAGCCTCTTCAGCTTTATTTTTTAAATCTAATGTTAATTCAATAACTTCTTTTAAATCAATTTTCAATTTCTGAAGTTCTTGATTATCTGGATCTGTTAAAAGTGCAGCTTCAACTTGTTGAAGTTGAAGCTGGTAATTTTGTAAATCGTCGGACATTATAAGTAATTATTTTATTTTTAATATTTTGAACTTATTTATTATTAAATAAACACACTGTCAAATCTTTTCATGTTTAAAATGTCAAAGTCAAATGTCATATGCTGCGTTTGAGAATCCACATCGGATGCATTTTTTACATCTCGAGCGTTTTTTTATCCACATCGGATACATCTGTCCCATTACATTTAACGTATACTGAATCACGTGATCAAAGATTTTTTACATCTCAGATGCATCCGATGTGGATTCTCAAACGCAGCATTTTCCATAAAAACTCAAAGACCTTCTATAACTAGACCTTCGAGCATATATGCTCGAAGCTCGACTCGAAGCGTTTCACTCATTCTTAATTTATAGCATAAGTAGAAGTTGGAAAGGCTTTTTCCAGTTCTCCCACTTTATACACATAAATTGACAGGTTTTCGGCGGATCTAACCGATGTAGATGCGATACATTGGCGTACAAAATTATTTTATAGATGTTAATAATAATTACGAGTAAATAGTTTAATAAATTGTGAATAGCTGTTGAAATTTTGTAAAATTATGATTTTTAATAATTATTTATAGTCCATAAATACATGCGATTGTCTGGTTCTGCCGGTAAAAATTTAAAATTACTTATTCTATTCTATAAAACGACACTGGCAAGTAAACATACGCACTCAAGTGTGGCATTTGCCAGAGTATGGGGTCTATTCTGTAACAATTCCTTTATATTTAACGGCCTTTAAAAATATTTTCTTCTCTACTTCTGTCATTATTTAAACGGATCTTTAAAATACAATAGAGTACTATCTTAAAGAAATCTGTTTAAATAATGACAGAAGTAAATTAACGAATACAAATATACTTTTAAAGGCCGCCAATATTTTTAAAGGCCGTTAAATATAAAGGAATTTTTACAAAATAGACCCCTATGTCCGCGCTTTATCGTATAAATAAAGCTTTCTTTTTTCACCACTAGCGTCGCTAATTTTTCTTTTGTACCGGTGTGAATATAGAGGAATAAACAAATGTGAAGTTAGCGTGAAAAATTAAATAAATATAATTAGAGTTATATTTAATTAATTAATTAATAATTAATTAGAATTATTTATTTTATTTCAAACTACCGCCTCTTAAAATACTCTGTTTAACACAGTACGCTTGTTATACACAATGAACTGGAGGGGGTAGAATGCCAATGTACATGTTGTACGTTGTACTTAATAATCTTTCCTCCATGGTTGTACTATTAGAACAAGGTGCGACTCGATGGGCGCATCCATTTTTATTGTTCATCTCACTCGGGACTATTTATAATAACCATTTTCTGTTTCACATTGTTATTGTTCAATCCACAAGCTGGTGGATCAGACAATAACAATGTGAAATAGAAAATGGTTATTTTAAATACTCCCGAGTGAGATGAAAAATAACCTATCTTCGCCCATAGAGTCGCACATCAAGTCTATTGACAAGCATTCTACCCCACTCCAGTTCATTGGTTATACATGGAGTGCGTGCTCCTTGTGTAGTCTCCATGTAAACATTACTCAAAAATTCTCAAAGCCGTCCGACGTGATTTGACGTTTACACCCTCTCTACCTACCAGAAGCCTTTTCAACTTCTACTTGTGCTATATTTACATGTCCAATTTTTGGAAATTTACTGATAAGACGCTACTGTCTTCAAAGGAAATAGTTATTATACAAAATCAAAGACAACAACCTAATGTCTTTGTACAAAACAAATAGTCGTTAGACTGTACAAGAATAAAGTCACAGCACATCCCAATCGATTAAACTTCAAACTATCGATACAGATAGATTTGATTATTACATTTTTTTTTATTTATGAAAAAGTTCAAAATGTCCGGTTTCTGTTTATTTAGTTCATTAACAATTTGTGCTTAGAGCTAATAAGGCCTTTCACAGTTCCAATCGACCAAATAAATAAATAAATAGTTTAAAAATAGGCATGGAGATAAGAGTCCACAAAAGACAGAAAACAGAAGATAAAAATTAGTGTCACCTGTCGCTGTCAAAAATGTCACATAAGAAAACAAAATTGAGGTTATGTTATAGGGTTATGTTGACACCAAAAAAATAGTTAACAGTGATTTTTTTATCCTTTCCCAGTCTCTCCATGTCAGTAAGTTAGTTCTCCCCATATTATCATCAATAAGAATTATCATCAATAAGAATTATCACCAAACAGTAAAATTAAAATAATGACAGAAATATCAACTAAGGAAGAAACGCTTGTTCTCCAAAATGGTCAAACAGATCACCAAGAAAATCGGACGAAAAGATCTGGAGGTTTAATGAAGTTATCCAGCTATGTATTAGCCCTACGTCCATGGTCACTTAGTGCAAGTTTAATGCCTACTTTATTAGGATCGACGTTATCTTACAAGTATCCTGGATCTTCAGACTTTAATTATATTACTTTGCTTCTAACTGTTTTGACAGTTGTAACAGTACATGGTGCCGGGAATGTAGTGAATACCTACTTTGACTATGTAAAAGGCATTGATAACAGAAAATCAGATGATAGAATTCTTGTGGATCATATACTGTCTAAGGATGAAGTTGTGTCCTTAGGAGCTATGCTATATTTTGCAGGATGTGTTGGGTTTATCCTACTTGCCAATCTATCTCCAGCAAAAATGGAACATTTAGCTTTGGTGTATTTTGGAGGATTGTCTTCAAGTTTTTTATACACTGGTGGTATTGGTTTTAAGTATATAGCTCTTGGAGATGTGTTAATTTTAATAATATTTGGCCCTATATCTGTTTTATTTGCATTTATGTCACAAACTGGATATCTGGAATGGGCTACCATTTACTATGCCATACCTTTAGCATTAAACACAGAGGCTATTTTACACAGTAACAATACTAGAGATTCAGAGTCAGATAAAAAGGTTGGAATTGTAACTTTAGCTATTATAATAGGACATACAGCTTCTCATGTACTTTACGCTTTTCTGTTATTTACTCCTTATATTATGTTCATGGTAGTTTCATTGAAATATTCAAAATGGTTCATGTTACCACTAATTACCTTACCTGAAGCATTTAAAATTGAAAAGCAGTTTAGATCTAAAGATATTCATAGTGTTCCAAAAAAGACTGCAAAATTAAACTTATTTTTTGGCATTCTCTATGTCATAGCATGTAGTATGGTATCTGAATTACCTTATATTATAAAAAGATAATTATATGTATGTATTTATTTTGTTAAATTTACTTATAAATTTGTAATGTTTTTATTGTACTTAAAACATTCAGATTATAAAATATTTAGAAGAGTTATTTATTTTAAAGAATTTAACCATTGCTGTTCATAACAATAAAGCATGCACTAATCCTTTAAACAGTATCAATTTCAATGCAGCGTCTGAAATAATATTGACCTATTTTAACTGGATAATACAAACTAAACAAGATAGATATAAAGATGCAGTTTTCAAAAATTGGAGGTTTCAATGTGTGTATAAAATAAAATAGCTTAAATATTTGAGCCATAGGTGTCTGTTCTGTAAAATATGGTTAAAATTAACCCTTCGTTATAAAAATAACCAGTTGTTATTTATAATTTTGTATTCAGTATTATTTGGTTGAAATTATAAATTAATGTCAGTAATAAAACTAGTAATGCATATTCTTTTTCTTATTTTTATTTTTAATGGTGCGTACGGCTTAAATTCAATTCATTTTTAAGTATACTATATCGTTGACATGTCTATTTTAACTGGGATTGGTTACAAAATACCTAATAAGACAAAATTAAATTAATGGAATATTGAATATAGAGATTTGAGTTAAAATTTAAATGTCATAGTTACAAATAACCTTTTAACCTGGCGGTTAAAATTAACTAAAACGTTACAGAATAGATGCCATAGTTATAAATAATCTTTTAACCTGGCGGTTAAAATTAACCAGAACGTTACCGAATAGACCCTATTCTGTAATGTTGTAACATTCAAATAAAATAAAGTTTAATAAGATTATAAACATTTAAAAAAAAAATTTTTTTGACGGGTCATGGTCATTCTATAGACCTCACGTTACAAGAACGCCATCTGGTAATTATTAAAATATTAACCCTCATTGATAGTAGGGTCAAACTAAATTTAAAATTTTCCAACATTTTTATTGATTGGTGAAACTCACATCTTTATTATATTTTTTATTTTATCGTTAAAATAGAACAATGTACAAAACTCTAGATACCGTTTAATTGCACTAGATTTCAGATTATAATACAAAGGGTGTACACCTTTGTGGTTGACTGTAATCAGTATTATTTATGTAATTTATGTTTTGAAGATTCATACATATTTTCAAAGTGATACTGGCAATTTTGGGTTATATTTACAGCGTATAGTATTCTGACTTAAAAAAGATAAGTACTATTACAAATTTTGATAGGTATATTTTCATTTGACAAGTTAAATAATTTTATTTTTACATTATAAAATATTTATTCTAGACTTTAATATTTATCTAATTCATTTTATGATAGCAACAATATAATTAAAGAGATTATTTCTGAGATAAATTGAAACATCTTGAATCTCATTAAAAATGGTTAGTTATTTTTAATATTTATAAAAATTATTATTTTTTTTTGAGAAAATTACTCAAATCTTAAATAATTTTTGTTTTTCGAAAATTAAATTATTTATTTAATTTAAAAATAATGATTTTCATTTTGCATTAATTTTGTAGGGTTAAATTAAGAAAGAAGCATATAACTGCATGATATCTACTGTAGCCGGTAGCTACCTTCCACGTTAACAAATTGTGGGATTGGATTGCCAATTTCTTTCTTAATTTACCTCTAGCAAAACAGACTTAAAATAATGGAAGACTGTTTCAAAAACAACACATGTTCTAAAATGCCCAAATTAAGTTAACTGCGATAGTGGCACAAATGGTGATTTCCTAAAAAAAAGTAATGAACAGAGATATTCACTGTCAAATATAGAGCGTTTCAAAAGGTCTATTAGTACTTACATATTGTTTCTTGTGTTTCCTGTAAAAAGCTGGTTTTGGACATGTGTCGTTTTTGTAAAAAGATCTTCAAGTGCACTCCTGTCTCATTTTTTTTGTAGTACATTCAATTTTATACAGATATGCTTACTCACTTTTTTACTGATCATAGGCATACCCTCATCTGTAATAACTTATATCAACCACGACCAGTAATGACAAAATTTCGCATCAGTCATAGATGTAGAGATGAAATTGTAATTTTTTTTCCTGTGATAAATAAAAAAGTGAACACATCTGTATAAAAACATTAAGTACAGAATAAAAATATGATTATTTAAAATTATTTCATTTTTCAATTAGAGAAACTTTTTACACAATTTATTGTTTAGTATGTTATAGTACCTTTATGTTATAGTCTAAAACTGTATTTTTAAAAGTAAACTCATCAAAATGAGGCATAGATTGTGGATTATATAAAGGCCTATTTATCCTGTCAATTGATTAGGATTCTGTCTATGACAAAAATTGTATTATTAGTTCTGTTAATCTGTATTCAAAAAATAAACCAACCAATTTTGAAATTTTTATCAATTTTAAAGTAAAATTAAAAACGGCACGTTTCAAAAAAATATAAAATCCATTATTACATTTTATTTCAAAAGTTCAATTAGTATTAAATTGAAATATCTGTGTAAGAAAAATAATATGTTTGGTTTATTAATTTTAAAAACTTCTGACACAACTTGACTTCAATATAAATATTTTAAAAATTCAAATAAGGAACTACTTATTAATTATTAATGATTAATATACACTTGAATAGATATAAGGCTGGTCCGATTTCAGATTTTTTATGTATAAAGATAGATGTGGAAATTTAAAATGATAATGATGTAATAATTGTATTTCTTTCTAAATATCATTTTTAAGGTTTGAGTCATGAATAATGATTGCTTATCTCATCACATTAAATGAGACTTTACTATTTATTGTATTATTTACTACTAAAAATATATAAATCAGTTTTAAAAAAAATGTGTACATAAACTATATAGAGTGATTCACAAAAAATGTTTTTAAAGTATGTCATAATGAAGAAAAGGCAGAGATAAGAGTCATGTAGGTGATAAGTACACTTAGCTCTAAATTAAATCCAAACTGACATAGGTACTTAAAAAGAAAAATTATACTTTCCGACATACGTAAATTTTTCCAATGCCTACTTTGGAAACATTTTTTTTTTTTTTTTGATCACTTCTTATTAGTTAAATAACATTTTGTATTAGAAATATCAAATATTTTATGTAAAATGGCAGCCAAACTTAAGTGGCAACCTAATAGATAATTTTATCTTGACAATAATAAGTAGTTTCAGTTAACTTATAACAAGTGTAAATATTTTTTTGGTATCATTTCCCATACTCAAAACGAGAACATATGGGGTAACGAAAAAGTTTAGCATCAAGGTATTTTCTTTCAAACGAATGAAAATTTAATTATGAAATTGTAGGGTACCTACCTAATGAATGGGACTATATTACTTTGTTTTTTTCTGATCCTATACATACAAGGGAGCGAAAAAGCCTAGAAACAAGATATTTTAGAGTAATGAACGGGACTGTATTACATTAGTATTCTTGAAAAGAGAAAAATAAGTTTTTTCCGATATATATCCCCGACCTAAGTAGACGACGGCACGCTAAATGCCGACGTCACATAAATTTGATATGTGCTCTAAAAAATGCAGAATACAGTCCCATTCATCACCCTACATTTTCATAATTATACCACTTATTTCAAAGAAAATACCTTGTTGCCATACTTTTTGCTACCCTATATATTTCAAGCTCATAGGCTAATTACAGGTTGGCAATGAACAACTCTTAGAAATATCTCATCAATCGTAAGGGTATTTTTTAAATACAGTCGCTTTATAAGCCTCCTTCTTGGTTTCCTACCTAGGTTTCATTGGATTAAATCCTTAGTTTCATAATAAAATATAATTTACTCATACCATATATTTCGCAATGCAACAAAAAACTTTAAATCGTAGCTCTACTCAAATGTGGCAATTTTCATAAACGAAAATAACATTTTCAAAATAAGTACCACACAAAAAGTTTTTTTATTAACAATTATAAGTTATCACATCCTACTGGTTTCAGCTCGAGAGCCACCTTCAGACTTAAAATAAAGATACATATATATGATTCAAAACTTAAAACATAGTAAAAAAATTTAAACTGGTAACATACTTTAAACTAAAATATGTTAATCTTATAGAATTGGGTCAAGACGATGAACATTACAAGTAATTATAAATTTAAAAACAAAATAAAATTAGAAAAGTAACTAGTAAATATTAATTTAATGAACTCTTCCAATTTTAAACAGGAGGAGGCGAGGTATAATGAATACTAAACGATAAGAAGTCCATGTCTTGTAACTAGTCCAAAAACGTTCACAAGCGGACTATCATCCAGGGTCCAGAAAAGAGATATTTCGTTAGGACTGTCTGCCGTATATCCTCCCCCACCTCGACCTTTTCAAATCTATTGTGGATCAGGATTACAGGATACCTATTCTCTAACTCATTGGAGCACTCCCATACTCCCATGCCAACGTTGCCAAGTCGACAGAATAACTTTGATCTACTATTTAAGGACCGATCCACCGTTGTGTTAAACGAAGTTTAAAATGACATTTTTACATTAACAATGTCATTATAATCTCCGTTTAACTCAACGGTGGAATCAGCCCTTAGTAATTCAAATTTGCTTTGTGATAAATACGGACCTAATCTGGCAAGCCCGCAATTCTCCCTCCCATAGTATAAAATCTTACCTTACTACGCATGTACCTGGGCTAAAAGTGAGTAAGCACGATATACCCACCTAAGAGTAAGAGAGCAAAATATATGGGAGCACTCCCATGGGAGCGCTCCCATGACTTAGTGAATAGCTATCCATATCACTAACTCTGAAAGTTTTGCTTCACGACTGATCCATCACTCTTCTACTCATAGTGTTGTCACTACCAAAATGTGTTGTCGGTAGATAACTTGATCAAAATTCGGTAGAAATCGGTAGATTTAAAGTTAAGTTGTGCTTTTAGTAAAACGTGCTAAAATAGTTGTGTACCAAGGTTGATCTTTTTTGGCCAAATCAGAAATTTGCAGCTTCTGGTTAGGCCAAAAAAGATACGGCCGAGGTGC